TCAAAACACTGTCCTAGGTCTACTGAAACCTCGCTCCAAACTACACATTGGAGCCTTCAACGTACGCACCCTATGTCAAATACGTCAACAGGCTTCCTTGGCTAGAACCCTAGAATCTCGTACCATTGATGTATACTGTGTCTCTGAAACACGCATACAGGATCCCAGTGTGGCCATTCACTTGACCTCACCTTGCCAACATGGAGAACCAACGAGATACACCCTCCGTGTATCTGGTGACCCGATGGCCAGTTCTCGTGGACTGGCAGGTGTAGGCGTAGCACTAAGCATAAGGGTGGAACAAGCACTGTTAGAGTGGATCCCCGTTAACAGTCGTTTATGTGCTGTTCGGCTAAACGGCTCTGTAAGAACTCGGAAGGACAGGGACATGCGTCGTTGCCTTTTCACTGTTTCTGCCTACGCTCCCACCGACTGCAGCTCAGATGAAGTGAAAGATGAATTTTACAGAAAGCTATCTGAACTTTAGAAAGCTAAACGTTCAGACATAGTACTCATAGCAGGTGACTTTAATGCACAGATAGGTAGCTTAAACCAAACAGAAAGGCATTTAGGTGAGTATTTTTGTATTCCGGCACAACGAACAGATAATGGTGATCGTCTGCTGCAACAGTGCTCAGACAATCATTTATTTCTAGCAAACACAAATTTTAAGCATAAGGAGAGACATCGTCTAACATGGCGACCTACTGCACCAAACCAACGATGGACTCAAATAGACCATATTGCCATCAGTCATCGTTGGAGAGGGTCGGTAGAAGATTGTCGATCATTCTAGAGTACCTGCTTGGATTCTGACCATGCCCTAATACGGGCACGCATCCGCTTGCGCCTCACTGGACGCAAAAAAGCCACATTAAAAAGACCCATTAGAACTTAACTGAGTAACGAGGAAACCAAAAGTAGGTTCCAGGAACAACTGAGGTCACACATAGGTAGTTTTGAAAACGAGGCTGAACCAGATGTGACATCTGTTAGCGATTTAAGCCACAGAGTTACAAAGAACCAATGGATTTCTTCAAGGTCTATTGCACTGATGGATTCTCGTAAACTCATCCCATCAGGCTCTGAACATGATGAAGAGCATAAACAGATCAGATCTAGGTTAAGCAAAAGTCTAAGGAACGATCGTGAGCAGCGGTGGGCAACGAAAGCAAAAGAGATGGAAAAGGCGGAGGCTATAGGGAACACAAGACAGCCCTACAGACTAATAAAAAAAACTGGAATTATAAGTCGAGTATAGTTCAGACTATTTCGGAAAAATACGACACTCTCATCTGCTCCCAGTACAGAAATTTAGAACAATGGGCAGAACATTTTAGAGAACAGTTCAGCTGGCCTTCAGCTAATCTACAAGTACCCCCATTCCCAGGCAGTGTGAATGGAACATTGAAGTAGATCCTCCAACTCTAGCTGAAGTTGAAAAGCCTATAGTTAATCTGAAACGAGGAAGGACAGCTGGTCCAGCTGGATTGGCTTTTGCCAACTTACGTCAGCTATGATAAAGGTGAGATATCCGTCAACCAAAAAAGGACGAGTATACTACGCGGCAGTTCGTTCTGTCCTACTTTACGGCTGCGAAACATGGCCATTAAGAGTAGAATATATGCGTTAGCTACTAGTATTCGACCACAGATGCCTCAGAAATATTGCTCGCATCTGCTGGGATCACCGGAAAATTAATAGTGAGGTTAGACACAGGGTATTAGGGAATGATAGTAAATCAGTTGATGAGGTTGTGAATCTTCATCGAATGAGATGGTTGGGTCACGTATTGCGTATGCCTGAACACCGATTATCACGACGTGCAATGCTAACTGGTGTTGGGGATGGTTGGAGGAAAGTTAGGGACAGACAAACCAAAACGTGGCATCAGTGCTTAAAGTAACTAACTTCTAGTCTAAGCCATATCGACAGATGTAGACTACTTGGTTGGGATATGCGCGACTATCGTAACCAATGGTTGGAAACTCTGGCGTAGATGTATACACTATTTTTCTTCCTTTAAACCGTGATATTAAAATCACTTCATATCTTTCTTTCTACTAACCAACTCTTTCTTCATGTACTATATTCTTATTGCAATCTTTCTTTTATATATTACCACCACTGAATTAACTACTTCTTTGAATCCGGTGTTCATCTTGCTGTGCTAATGCGGTATGGCAATTTGTACCGATGCATATATGTGCCTGGTCCTACGTTGTAGCTGACTGACTATAGTCAATGAAGGGAAATGTTATCCAACAAGCTATTCACGAACATATTTTTCCGGACACATGTTTTGTGTATGGAAGGTATTAAAATCATAACCTTAAAAAATACCTTTTTAAATAGATACTGGATATGAAAAAGTATATCAACATGATTGTGATTAAAATATTTGACTTTCGCTAATCACACAATAGTTTTCACAAAAATAAGTTGCTTCCATTTACTAGTGAAATCTAAGATCCACGTTTCGTCTCATTTTAATTTCGTCAGTTGGATGTAGCGGCACCCCAATGTGAATACTCATACTAAAGTTCGAATCTAGTGTTTGTTGGTTCAACCGCTAAAACGTTAACCAATAAACTACTGAGTTTAGATAGTCATCAACTTTTTTTACGAATATGATGTTTATATCATCAGTTAAAGACCCAATGTGAACATCAACACTTGAATACAGATACATACAGTTGATGAGTTTTAAATACGGCGAAATGTGTACACTCACAGTTACACTGCTATCTATCTATTCTAGAAAATAATGTTTAAAAATGACGACATTGAAGCAATGCGCAAAGGATAAACATATGCTAACAAAGACTAATCATAATTCAGTCTTAAATATCAATAATCGGATAATTCAAGCCTTCATTAGTAATGATATAAATTAGTTTATTATTGAATGAATTGTAAGATAATGTCAGCAGATTATGTAATGGACTACTGGACTGTCTTTACAGTCGAAATGAAAACTTCATCATTCAGTAATCAGATTCTTAAAGTACAACTGTGACAAAATATGTTATTGATTTTCATACACATAATTCTAAAAAGTTATATGTACATCGTTTAGATAATGAGAAACATTTGTACAATAAAAAGTGACATTTTTAGGAATTTACGATATATTTATCTCTCGATGTTAAATACCTTGAATTTAAAAAATTCTGATAAAATGGGAAACAATTTACATATTTCCATGTCCCCATACACATTGTTTTAATGAAAAATTGTAAAAATACTTACTTGTAAACCAATACAGAAGCGTTCACCAACTCTAGGAAAATCTTCGGGTCCAATATATTCTTCTGCTTCATTAAGAAATGATTGTGTCAATTCAACCATATCAACAATAGAGAAACGTGGTAATAATAATTGTTTAGTAACACGTCCAATACCAGCACCACAATCTAATGCGTACGCTGTAGTAGATGGTCCGAATTCATCGAGAAATATCTCAGAATCTGCAATATCCGGGACATTTAACGAGGTATAACCTGATAACATTCCGTCAACTGTAGCTGGAACTTGACTCCAATAGATTTTTGCCTTTGAATAAAATGTAACTGGTGTTCCAACAGGCGACTGAGAGATAGACATATGTCGACGTAATAACTGTAAGTCTAATGGAGGAGCACCGACAACAGTTTTTGAGCGAAATCCATCATGTTTATTACTAGTGTTCTGATTGTGTTTTTTAATAGCACCACTATGTGGAGCTTTTGCTACTGGAGAGGTTGCCTTGTACAAAGTTGAAAAAGGTGAAACAAGGATGAGAATACACTTAATATTTTGTACACGGAGATCAACATTTAATATAAAATGTATATCCAAGTCAATAAAATAAGTTTCATATATTTATCCATAAACTATATGTGGTGTGTGTGTGTTTGATAGATGATACATAGTTGGTCAAACTAAAGTATTTAAATGCGCTCAGAGGTGCATTTTAGTGTGTGTGATAGCTGGCTGGTCGCCATGTAGCACAATTTGGTCGATCAACCTGACAAAACTCAAAAAGTACATAAAATAGGGAAAAAAGAACTGATAGGTGGAACAGAACGAACTGTCGCGTTTATCGATTTACAGAAAAATCATAAATAAATGCAGCTGTACTACTGAGGCCGTTTATGTGAATAATATGTCACCTAAACTCTTCTGATTTACAGGAAGAGGAAAATTAACCAAAAAATTGAGAACGTGATGATAAACCTTTCCAAATTAATCAAGACAAGTCTGAATCATTGACCTAAATAAATATACTCACATATACACGCATAATGACAAAATCAGTAACAACAACCATCATACACAGATTTTCTGAGACAATATAAAACTAACAAAAATAGTTCTACATGGAGCGATACAGAAAAGTGCTGAATATTATTGGGACCACAAGTCAACCAAAGTTAGACAAGCATCGAAAACTGCTTCGTCCTAGCATGGAGCTCCTCAACAATGCGGATCTACGACCCCCACCACCAAGGACTGAACTCAGAATCTCCTGTCTCATGCATGAATGCTTAATCATTAGATGCGATCTAGAGGTTAAGCACTTATGTGTGAGACCGAAAGTCCTCGGTGATAGAGACGTGGATATGCATTACTGAGGAGCACCATGCTAGAACGAAACAACTATCCAGTGCTACCAGGTTTTTTATGGGTGTCTAATTCATTTGGATTTACGATCTCAAAGAGAATTCAAGCTTCACAACCACGAACAAACGATACGTTCTTCTTTCTTTTTAAAGTGCATACATCGAATTAAATACATAAATAGAGAGAAAAATCAAAGCTATCATCAGAAAACAAACAGATTTATTGATATTTAACATTAAACAATATCAATAGATTACAAAATGCAAGAAATTTTACATAAAATTTTTCATAAGTTTTTTTGGTAACTGTTATCGAGTTACAAGATAGAAAACAAATGGTTCATATCAACAAGATAATATTGTATAAAGATGAAAAATATTAAGATCTGAGTTCTGTCAAGCACGTCTTTGAGTAAATGAAGGACTAGTACCTGTATAAGTTTGAAGAGGAAGATAAAAAAACAGTTTCAACAAATCACATCGTATAATAATAACACAAATAATAAATACATATTAATTAATAGTTGAATTCATGAGTAGATTTGAGCTAGACCACTATGGAAAACCTGAAAGCACTGGATGACCGTTTCGTCCTAGTATGGGACATATTAATTACAAACATCTGCTCAAATAAATAAAACAAATTGACTATTAGGTAAACAGATAGTTTATATAACAACAGTTATTATTATGATTAGAGCGCATAAACAACCTAAAAACTGACATACATGTACATCAGCTCAAGCTACTACATCATATCACCACACCCAGGAGAGGTTATCACATCAAAACTAGTTATGCAGTTGTTGTAAGAATAGTATCATTGGTGGTAGACAAGATGAATACGCGGAACCAAAAAAGGGGAAAATTCCAAAACATGAAAATCAAAGAGAAAACAAAAGGTAAACTAAGCTGAGTTCATATGATCGACTTCAAACTATATCGTGCTATGCCTCAAACCAATCTATCTAGTCTGCAGTTATCAACATGAGTAAAATCAACAGTCAACGACTTTATGGATTGACCGTAGATAAATTTCTTTTAAAATGCTCCAACATTGCGTTTCCATGTTAGCAAATGTAACACATGGTCCAACCGCTCCAGACGACGAAGACGCGCATCCTCATTAACAGATTTCATATCCTTAAAAATTTGTCTTGAATAACAGAGTAGTATGTGTACCAACGGCAACTAACTTTGAATTATATCACCTAAAATCTCTCACTAGCGATTATGGACATCTTGTGGATTGAAACAGAGCTATCTGCACAGCACAATATGCCTTAGTTCCACAGTTTGACGACCAAGGTTCAATAGATGAATCTGGTAACTTGACGTTTAATCCAAAGACTTTAAATCACGTTAATTACAAATGAATAAAAATATGTATTTTTAACCTAACGTCATTTGAAACTTATATTTGTAAATTATGTATTCTTCATGCACAAACATATATATTAACAGCGGAGAAATCAATCAATTAATCAATGACAAGCAAAATAAAGTGTGATATGTGTGGTAACGCAATTTATCAGCACCCATTAGCAACCGAGTCAAAATAACTGGAGTATTTATGATAGTGACAGAGATTAAGTAATGAGTATGGTTCGATAAGGTGTAATGGAAATGTATTGTATGAAAGAATATTGAAACTTCAGATATTGAGAATGATAAAGAATGAATGCAACTGAGGACTATTGTGAACGATTCTGAGTAGTCAGCCCTTTTATTCAACGACTAACTGATTGCGACTATTGCCTTGGACTTCCCTCCTAACATAGAAACGATCTCAAATATAGGAGCTCAGCGTTAGAAGCTTTCTATTTGTCCGTCATAAGGAAAGGAGAACCTTACACACATCTATGAAAAACCTTTATTCAATAGGATTAGTGTCTACAAATTATTCTTTTCTAATATGTTGACTGATAGTTTTAAAAAAGAATAAAAACTTAACTACAGAACAATATTGACTGACGTGAGTATTTATTATTTTTCATGCTAAGAGTAACCTCAACATGACCTTGAGAAATACTTTTTATTTATCATTTAATAAATAATGGAAAATACTTTTTACTAGTAAGAAAAACAATGAAACAAGCCTAGGAGTCATGTGATATTGAATTAGTTTAGTTTAAAGTATGAAGGTAATTAGTATACTGTACAAACAGAAACCAAAGATTTATAATTAATACATCATGGACTAATTTTAGTTTAACAACAATTGAAAAACAGAAAGCAATTGATAACTATTATGTTTATCTTAAACCTCTTACAACACTAAATTATAACTTATAATCTAAGTGTTAAATAAACCAATATGATAAGCAAATGTTTGTGAATTTGGTTTTGAGTGTGAGAGCTAGTAGCACCTATTCTATATATCAAATCTAGCTGGGTGAAGAATGGATTTCAGACCTGAGAATTAAACCTAGAAAACTGAACGCCTTAACGACTGAGGGATCTGTTCATCATCATAAAAATTCAGTGATTAGAATTCTATCTGACATATGCAACTCATTTGGTACAGTTTAATGTTCTACGATAAATCAGTTACTTAAATAGAATTTTAGGTGCTCGCATTAAACAGAACTTTTATCGGCTTCGGGGTTCAATGAAAGACCCTTGTTGTTTGATTAGAAGTTAAAGAATGAAACATCCACCTAATTGTAGAATATCGAATGCGTTCAATACTAACTCATTGCTCTACACAAACGAGTAGCTATATTAAGGTATTGCAAAAAAATTTCACAAGTTAATCAATGATCTTTACTTCTTACAATTTAGTGTTGGAGACGGTTGAAAGAAAGTTAGGGACAGACAAACCAAAACATGGCATCAGTGCTTAAAGTAACTAACTTCTAGTCTAAGCCATATCGACAGATGTAGACTACTTGGTTGGGATATACGCGACTATCGTAACCAATGGTTGGAAACTCTGGCGTAGATGTATACACTATTTTTCTTCCTTTAAACCGTGATATTAAAATCATTTCATATCTTTCTTTCTACTAACCAACTCTTTCTTCATGTGCTATATCCTTATATGCAATCTTTCTTTTATATATTACCACCACTGAATTAACTACTTCTTTGAATCCGGTGTTCATCATGCTGTGCTAATGCGGTATGGCAACTTGTACCGATGCATATATGTGCCTGGTCCTACGTTGTAGCTGACTGAGACAACACATTACTGTCACATTAGAACAAAGTGGCAATAGAAATGTTCTCCAGAAAATATTTCCAGTTTAATGCATGACTTTGTTATATAGCGTGATCATGAAATGTGCGAGTAATTTGACGTGAAGTATTGCATGATAAGATACAATTTTCCAATATTTGACATTTTATTTCATGCTTCTAGGATTACATGAATGATTTGTTCTAACACTCATTGATCAGTCAAGGGTAATCAAATATCATATTTATTTAGGTTTTAGTGTAGATTGAAATTAAATTGATTCAGTTGAGGATAATGTCAATTTAGTTTAATTAGATAAACATTTCGTTTGTCACAGTCAAATCATATGTTACTATTGAGTCATTTGAGTCCTATGAGAAACAGTAACAGTTAATTCGAATTAACAAATATATCTTATTGAAAATATAACAACTAGTACGTAAACTAAGTTCAAGGTTTTCTGTTGACCTAGTGTTTCGAATCACCAAATATTCAGTGAAAGACCTCAAAGTCTTGGGTTTGATTCATGTTTGAGTAGTAAATACGTGCTGTGGAGACTTTTACTACAATGGAAATGATATTCAACATTCTGTAAAATTCCCACAACTGTAAATTTAATTTCTTTGTGGTCATAAACTAGGTGACAGCTTTTGATATTCGTTATGTTCATCGTAAATTGGTGGTACTATGAAATCGGTCATATCAGTTGATAAGTAGTTAATCAGTCATGTACATTGTAGAATCTGACACATGTGCATCGATTCAAGTTGTCCTGCCACATTAGTACAGTAGCATAGAATTATCATGAAAGATTCTACAGTAGTAAAGGCAATAGTAGTATTAGTAATAATAGAAAAGACTAGATACAGAAAGAAAAAATAAGGTAAATGGATATTTCGGGGCTCAAGTTCTAAAGGAAGACGAGGAGTGAATACGCCTGGATAACGGTGAACAATTCTGTCCCATGTCATTCAGTCTCTAACCAGTAATCACAATATTCACAAAGACCTCAACAAGGTAGTCCATCCCAACTGTCAATGACTTCATGAATTGATTACGCGTTTTGTTTTTGGCTACCCTTAGGTTTCTTTCACTCTACTTTCACACCAGACAATATTGTTCGGATATATATATATATATAAATTTAGAGTAAGATTAAAACATACCAAAAGGTGAAGCAGGGATATTTCCACCAGGTGGTGAGTTTTGAGCAAGTGATCCAAAACTTAAATTATCTGATTTACTCCCTAAACTACAATGAATAAGGTGTAAAATAAACAAGATATAACAGTTAAAATTGATAAATAAATAAAATGAATCGACTAGTTAATAATAACTGATTATTAAAAATAATAATATAGCTCTAAAACGGATGTATTGAAGCTTGAATAGCTCTTATGATTGGTTTATTGGTTACTTGATAAAGATTGAACATATGAGAGGTGTATGAACGTACTGAAAGCTGCAGATATACATACAGACATATACTGATGGGTGGCGAAACTACTATGTCTGGACGAACCAATCGGATTCAGGATAACAGGTCTCGAATCTTGGCGCGAAATCCATTCACCTATTTGTTTAAATAGTGTTTTGGCATTTTAGCTGATGTCGATTCGTGATGAAAAAAGTAAATCTAAACCCTAACCCTTACCATAAAATGTAAATTATAATGCTTATTCTACACACTGCTTTATAACCCGCATTTAGCCCTAGTAAGTAGGCGAACATTCTCAAGATCACTTCAGAGTCACTTAAAGGTCGTTCATAAATCATAGACTCATTTTATACAGTTTAACTAACTATCAAATTTATTTGTATCATGATCATACATTACAAACTCGATCGACAAAACTTATTAGTTAGGACGGAGAAGTAGAAAAAAATAATGATTGTTAACCAATGATGAGTTAACTTAAAACTGTTTCTGAAAAATATTAATTTGAAAGATGCCAAATACAAACAGAATTATCATTCAGATGAATGTATAAAATAAACTTCAGTATTCGACCTTACAGTTACAAATAAAAATTCACGGTTATCGAGATCAGGATGGAGAACAGGATTCAAATCATTGACATTAGATTGATCTGCAAATAGATTATGTCTTGTGAATGGTAATCAAAATCACCTGCCAAATCACCAATCAGAATCTGACTTCCAATTTAGTCTGTTATTCACTCTATAGCTTAGTTTCTCTGGTTTAAATAACTGCATGTCTGATTAGCATTATTAACCTTAAGTCAACGGTTAAGTTCGCATTGGTCCACTATACGTTAGCTCCTCTCTATCCACAGCCTTGAGTTATCATTCCTTCAATCTTCGTTTGGATATATCAATAAGGTAATTCGACACACCATCGACGAGGTTTTAAAAGATTCATAAGTGAACAAGAAGTGTTTTAATTGTCCGTAATTCCATATAAACTATGAGTACATGTAACAAGTGATGTGATGTTCTATCACTAAGCTATCAAAATAATTGTACAACACTTTGTACATTGTTTCGAATAGAGCAGTGATGCATCTTGAAACACATCTAATTAGTGCTTAGAATTTATCTAAATTCAAGAAGCTGAATCTGTTTTCCAGGAGGGGAAAGTAATACATAAAGCTAATCAGAATCCACCGAATGAGAAGACCAAAACGTTGTGCCGATTATAAAATCTTTTAACGACAAGTGCAGATGATTGGTCAAGAAATTGTTTTATTTTCTAAATAGTATATATATATGAGTATTATGTATGTGGATCAGTTTAGCCCAATAAACCTTTCTTACTCTTAGTCTTTTGGGAGCTTTTTTTTATCAGAAATTTGTGTATCAGTATTTTATTCTCCAACACCATGCGTCATAACAGAAACAATCTAAGAAACGTAGTGACAACACAAAGAACACTGTCAACTTACGAGGCAAACAATCCACCACCTACAGGTGCGGGGTTAGAACCACCACCACCACCGAACAAGGGCCCAGTTGAACCAAATAATCCGCCACTGGAATTAAATGCTCCGGGACCATTCATTCCGAATAAACCTTGTCCAACTGGTTTATCAAATGCAGGACTGCCAAAAGTTGGTGAACTTCCAAAACCACCAACGCCAGTAGTAGGTGTCTGTGTACCAAATAAACCTGTTCCTGGATTAACATTTGTTCCGATATTACTAAATAACCCGCCACCACCTCCGCTCATTGTAGTAACAGGTGTAGGAGAGCCAAACAAAGATGAACCTAAAATTGAACTGCTGAAAAGACCAGATTGAGGACTTGACAGTGATGCACTTGCTCCAGAAATAATATTATTCTGTGTACTTGAATTAGGCGAACCAAATAAAGTAGAGTTAGCTAAATGATAAAGTAAAGATAAAAAGGCGGACCAAAAAAGAGGAATAATTAATTTGCATCAATTTTACAGAAAACCGAATGATAAGATGTGTTAATGACATACTATATACAGCTTGATATATCGTTTAAAATCTCGACCCATACAGAAACACCAAAGATTCAGAAAGACGTTTTCAGTATCTCTTAACATCCAGCTCAATTAACAATGAACTTAGAAGATTGTTAAGACTATATCTTGAGAACCAGTCATTAAAGCGACATAATTTACGTGAGTGCAATTAACGAAAATTTCAAAATAGTAAAACAACATTGTTTATGACTTATTCTGATAGAAATTTTGAGAAATATTGGATTATGGGACAAGAATTATCAGTAATAGAGTTAAAACAGTTTCATTACATATGACTTCGACTAAAATATTATTTTAAATATCAATATACCGCTTTACAAAAATTGAAAGTTACTGCGCACGATCCAGCTTATACGCGCGTAAACTTCAGAAACCCTACAGCTATATGTAGTTGAGGTGTTTCAAACTATGAAACACCTGTTCAGTGATCTCTGGTTTTCACTGGTTAACTAGCTAGAGTCAATTTGCAACGTGAATTATAAACCAGACAATCTTTACAAATCGACAATAAACAGTCAGCCAAAGTGTATGTGAGTGTTCTTAAAAGTGTGTTGCAAATGCCCAGTTGTACATACTATGATAGGATACTCTACCGGTGAGGAAAGAGGATAAACAGTGGTCATAACAACGGGTGAGCACAACTGTACGTCAAGTTAGTAGCTACGGTAGAGACCAACATCAGGCGTTATTTTTGGTTGATTTATCGAGATTAATTTGTTACCACAAAAATGTTTGTATGATAAACAACGACGTCATTACCAAGACAGTGTATTTATCATAATTATGCTGAAAGAAAAAATAGTCGAACAACATCTTGTCCAAAAACGTATGGGGAAATTCCACACACACACAAAATCAAATAACTAACCTTGATTTGCAAAAGCTGTGTTACCAAACGGTTTGCCAAAAGCATTTTGTGTGGGATTTTGATGTTTTGAATTCCCACCAAGACTTAAGTTTGATACAGAGAATAAACTGAAGACAAAACAAATAACAAGAAAAGAGAATTCTATAGATTGCATGATACACAAAACAAAACAAAATGGTGAAAAGGTATGGGAGGACCGATTCAACGTTACTGATATGACAATAAGATGAAAGCCTCTGCTGACAGTCAAGGCTTAATAATATTTCAGAGTGAATGAGGGGGTTAGTAATTGACAGTGCTCGTATCATCAAAGCACTTAGATTTCTAAGGCTGACATCACAATCTGACCTTAGTTAGATGATCGTTGGAAACCAGAAAGGACTGGAAAGCTGTTTCATTTTAGAATGGGACTCCCCAGAAGTGTGCATCCGCCATCACACCAGGGATGGAATCCTAAACCTTTGGATCTCACCGTGAGCACCTACTCTTTCATATTTTGTTATCTAACAATCAACTACGTTCATTTATGCACCTAGTATATGGGTATAAAAGCACAGTAGTTTACAAGGAAAAAGAAAGTTTTATTCTTCTGATCAGTTATTTAGCCATTTTGATTATAAGAATTTAAATAGAAGTGGAGCCAATGTCATTAGATATTTGTCACCTGGCAACGTTAAACATCACTTACATCATGAAATGCAACAACACAACACGAACAAGATAAGACATAGGAGACAGTTCTGAGTTGTTACACTAAAAAACCGCTTAATACTGTCACGACAAGTAGAAATTAATTATAGAGTGTGGACTTACAAAACGAGGATAAAATCATTAATAAAAAAATAATGACATATTTTTGATATCTCAATAAGTAGAAATTCGAATTTTTGACGTTTCTCCAGTTGAAAGCTATAATATTCGAATCACAATTTAACATACACATTATTGAATGAAAGTAACAACATTCAACAGCTACCCACCTGTTTGTAGATTTTGTATCGGATCCCATAGGTGAACCTTTATGACGAATACAAAAAGCACATATGAACACAATGATGATGTGAAAAAAGAACTAAGAAAAATCGAATCATGAAAAATGCTTTAATAAAGTTACACCTAAAGGGGAAATTCTTTGCACAGGAAGATTAGCAGCAAGTTATATCTAAAACGTGATTATTTCATGTACGGTTCAACATTGATTACAAGTGTTTTCAGTGAAAACATTACGAGAATATTTACACTTTATCGAGCGAAAATATCAAGACTGAGCAGTATTTTTGAATAAACGGTACATTCATAGTAAAAATTGTAAAAAAAAATATTTAAGATAAGCGAAGAAATAATGGTACCCTATCTTAGTTAATCAAATAAAGTTTATACAGATTCAAAAGTCAATAATTTGTTGTTCTCTTTTGATTCCATTTCTTCATTCTACTAATGATGCCTTTTAATGCTCTGATAAGGCCGAAGACAGGGAGAAATCACTTCAACTAACAATGGTAGACAAACTTTTATTTCTACTTTCGCGCTCTTTGTTATTTGTCTTCTGTACAGCATTCAAGTGTAAGAAAACGGCAGAACGAATGAAGAAGTGATTAAAAAGTAACTACGAAGCGTTAAAGTACCAGATATATCACAATAGTTGATAATACTATATGTTTCTTCAATCAGTTAATCGATGTTTGTAAATTCTGAAACTGACTTTTTCAATATAAGGGCGGGATTAGTGTATGCCGAGAGAAAAACTTTTTTAATCATCTTACTTATTCTAGAACCCTATCGAATCAATTAGCCGGTTATTACAGTTTTTGATTGAGATCATGAACCGATTGTTGTTAGACCACTATTGAAAACCTTGAAGCAATGGACAGCCGTTTCGTCCTATTGTGGGACCCCTCAGCAATGCGTATCCACGATCCCGCTCGCGGGATTCGATTACAGTATTCCCAGAGGATTGAAAATACTTAAAACATTCACTCACATCAACAAAACCATTGATATTTTTTTATGCATTAAAGTCAGTCAGTCAATTATAAGTAGAAACTGGAAATTTTTTTCTACTCCTTGGAAAATCAATCCATTTTTTAGTCAATGATGTGCATTTTTCCTTTAGGACACTTCTGATTGAAACCAAGAGACCTTCTCCTTTGGCTACTTTTGATTAACCGACTATATCAAATTACGATTCGACTATTCAACTATTATTTATGACAAACGTGTGGACAAAAAACAGAGAGCTTCTATTTATTGACACAGCGAGTACTCGTTCAACTGTCAATGACTCTTCATGGAGTGTGATGCCACTACGTCTTAATTTAATGAATACAATATAACGAGAACAAAAAACACAAACATACCGAAGAGGCCAGCACCCCCACCAGTTGAATTAGATGTAATCTGTTGAGAATTGACAGTCGCCACTGCTGCAAAAAGACCGGTACCAGGAGCCGTTGGATTCACCTGGTTAGAAGTTATTGATGCACCACTAAATAATGAAGATGTGCCCGAAACGAAACTAAACAGACTAGAAGTTGTAATTTGTGCTGTTTTAGAAAAACATAAAAACATAGGTAACTTAATACTGTTATTGGAGAATAAATGAAAAAATGAGGGTTATTGTACATGTTTTATAGTGTACTTAGTGAGGCATTTGCTTTCAATATTTTTATATTGTCAAACTTGATAGGTTATCGTTGAACTCATTAACTGTTAATACACGTTTTACTATTTAAAAGATACGGTTAAGCGATTATGTACCTGTTATTCAATTTTGTTTCTGGTAGAATTTCGTTCTCTGAGCTACGTCCAATGTTAGCTTATGTTGGTGAAATGATCTAACTAAAAGAATGAAACTCCACCAAAGTCATCTATCTGAAATACAAATCTTCTTCACTATCTCAAAATCGGTTTTGTACTAAAAATGAACTAGTTATGAAAAAGATTGTGAATTCTCATTTACTGTATGTTATGGTCTTGTAAATGATGTCATGAAATATACAGAGCAAATCAGCTGTATATTCTCGTATTCTAAGTGGACAGACTGAGAGTAGAAAGAAATTGCATGCGCCCGTATCAGCCTCAGCATTTTTAGTGACTATAACAGGTAAAGCGAAGTTCATTCGTGATAATGGATTAGGCGAATTCATGATTAGTGGACTCAATAAATTAGTGGTCCTTTTATATAGAAGTTGAATTCATAACAAAAATATACAACTGTATAAATACTTTAACGCGAATGAAAAGAACTTAAGTAGTAGAGAAAAAAAGAAACAATGAGCTAGACAAGCACTATAAGACTGTTGAGTGTAGTGCAACAAAATATTATACTTTTTAAGCAACGTCAGTAAGTAAATTCACAACAACAGACTTCCATTTTGACCCAAAAACAGAATTCGACAAAAACTCAGTACGACTAGGTCAAGAAACCACATATGAATCAGAAATAAAATAAAAATCGAAGCAAAAACATTTACAGAGTTGAATACTAGAATTTATCTACAATGAAACAAACCTGGCACTGTAGATACAGCAGTAGTGTTATTGTTATTTACAGGTGAATTTACAGATGGCGTATTAAACAGACTAGCACCGAATAATGTAGATGACGAAACAGTGGTAGTAGGATTTGAAGTATTGACCTGAAATAGATTGGAACCACCACCGGACACTGGAGCATTAAACGGAGAACCAAATAAAAAACCACTTGTTTGTGTAGCCGGCTGTGAACTGAACAGTTTGTTACCACCGACAACTGATGTATTGGCCAATGTACCAAACAAGCCTGCCGATGACGACACTGTTGCAATAGTATTAGTTGCTGTTGTATTTTGAAATAGAGACTGTCCAGGTAAAGTGGAATTACCTCCAAAAACAGAAGAGCCAAATGGACTAGAAAAACTAGGAGTCACTGAAGTAGTAGTAGCAATAGTAGTTGTTGTACTGGGTAGACTGGATAGCGAATTTACTGAATTAGAAACACTGAAAAGACCAGCTACTCCAGGTGATTGTAGGATGGAGGAAGAAGTTATAGTTTGAAACGAAGAAACATTTGTACCAGTGAATAAACCCCCGCTCGAGGAAGTACCTTTACCGAAAACTTGTAAGAAAATGAAAAGTTTTAAGCACAAATAAGTTCCATTTTAATTATTAAAATTAACCAATCTTTGTATTTTAATCTACCTGTGGTACCAAACATTGGAGATGCTGGAATAGTTGTGGTTGGAGTAGATCCACCAAAAAGTGTAGACACATGTGTATTAGAGGCGATTCCACAAGATGGTACAGAAACGGGTGTACTGAAAGCAGCACCACCGAAAAGTGAAGAGACGGAGGTAGTCGGTGTTTTATTGAAAGCCTCACTTCTCGAAATAGGAGTTCCAGTGAGACCAATAACAGTGTTTGCAGGCGAAACAGTGGTTACGGATCCTGTATTAATCGTAGAAGACGTCTGATTTGGATTGCCAAACAAAAAGATATTTGCACCAGTGCTGCAGGTTGATGAAGCAACGGTAGTGGCTAAAACGGAGATAAAGGATGAATGAACATCTTTGAATAACTAATGCTTAGACAAAAGGCCTCGTAAATTTACATTTTGACAGTTACTTCAAAAAGAATAGATATGAAGAAAGCACGAAATGTACATACCTGGAACCAAATTTGGAGCACCGAATAATGGTCTACTATTGAATGTAACATTTGAGTTTGTTGTAGTATCTGAATTTGTGGTTATTGCACTTGTAGTGTTCAATGGTATACCAGTGAAAAGAGAACTTAATGAAGAACTTATCGTAGTATTGATAGTAGCAGTACTGATATTTTGACTTTGTCCAGACCCAAACATTATACCTGAACTACTACATACTGGAGTTGGTAAAAATGAGAATAGCCCAGATGATTTAGAAGAAACAGTAGTAGTTTGAGGCAAATTAGCTGAAGAGATGTTTGAAACAAGATTTTCTTTCTTAATTTCATCTGTTTCTTTACACGGTGAAGCATTATTGAAAACATTCGATGGATTGGTGACAAAAGGTTTAGAAATAACTGTAAAAAAAAAGGAATCTCCATATATACGAAAGTACTTTGTGAAAAAACTTAAGGAGAACTTGAATAAAAACATTACCACGTTCATATAAATATCCTTTAAAAAAAACAAAGACATCACAGATATGTTAGTTAGCGGTAAGTTTAGAGATTATGATTTACGCTAATTAGTCTTCGAGGTTAGACGAAACAGTGTAAATATTTGATCGCAAGTGTACTCAACGAAACGTTCGCATAATGTGAAACATTAAGGGTAAGTATAAATTAAAAGATATTTATATGATTATATTATCGCCTGTTAATATAAAATGAGTTAGAATCAGGGTACTATGTAAAGATAACAAATCCGTTGATAATGTCATGAACCTTCATTGACTAAGATAATCGAAACATGTATTAGATAGACTCAACCACTGCTTGCCTCGACAAGTAAGTAAGTAAACCAAAATGTGGAGTCAATGTACAACCCCTTAATGATAATTATCGTGTTCTTATTAGTGACTAGCTTCAAGAGGAAATCAAAGGGATTCTAGTGGGAAGCTGTGACCAGTAAAGCTAAACTATGTCGGTGTGAGGCAGTTACCGACCGACGACAGTGAAAGATGGTAGCTTAGTGTCGTGGATTGATTCGAGTTCGACATTAACACCATCGAATCTCAACTCAGTGGTCTAAAACTTAAGCGTTCATATGAGACCAAAGCTCTTGGGTTCTATTGCTACGTACGGAGTCGGAGGTGAATATTGCAGAAGAGTCCTACACTAGGACAAAACAGCCGTCTAGTGCATCCAGGTTTTCAATGGTTGTCCAACCTATATATGTTTATGATTTAAAAGAAATTCAACAATCTCCACAATCCCTCACTGACAGTCAATGAATATTTGTTTCAGTTACGTAGATAGGTGTTAGTGTGATGTAGCGAATTGAAACAATTTACATTTTTGCTAAGTTAGTACGTTGCTTATGACTGACTGATTGGCTATAACATACTTATGAATGAATATGTTTTAGGAGATTGTTCAAAATCGGTAAGAATGTATACGTTGCTCTCGATTTCTTTTTTTACTTTTCTCTAAACTGTAAGGTTAGGTACGTTATTAAGTTATAAACAACAATACAGGACCAAGCGCGCGCGCACAAACACACGTATATTGATACGATATTGCCATGCTCCATGTAAGCATATCCCGAAATAATAAGTAATAATATTAATGGTTATAGGAGATCCAAAATAAGGAATATAGTTTAAAAGGATATATATATATAGTAGGAAATAATATCAGCATTCGAAAGATCTAACAGAAGATTACAAAAAAACCATGTATATTGACCATTATAATATATATTTCAAATATACAGTACATTCCACAGAACATGTGAACAAAATATTAGGAACTTAAGACATTATTACTTAAACTAATCAAATTTATACTTTGATCACATTGCAATAATAAACAGTATACAATATGAAATTATTGTCTAATAATATAAATTAATAATTAATATATTTTTCTTGTTTAGAGGTGTTTTATTACAAACTCATTTGTATGATAAGATCTATCTTCATAACACACCTCATGATGTCAAAAGTGTGATCATAAATTAATAGTGAAACAAACTTGTTACTTTGTTTTTATCATGAATATACATGATATATAAACGTGAACACAAGTAGATCAAATGCATGAAATACTTTTGTATCACGTCATTATGAATAACGTTTTGAAATTATCTATTTTGTTGATGGATAAATCAGAACGAAGATTGAAGAAAAGGATATAGTTAGACATATTCATAGCCACTTTTGGCTTATTTGTGTATAATTATGAATTACTATGCTTTTCTTGTAAATATTCACTATGAACTAACATCGGTGAAAGTGAATAATTAGTTACTATTCTTTAGTCTCAGAAGGGGTTTTGTAGAGATTGTAGTAATTTCAATAGTTGAGATCATAAGTCAATTGAAGTTAGACCACCATGGAAAACCTGAAAGCACTGGACGGCCGTTTCGTCCTATTGTGGGACTCCTCAGCAGACTGACAGGCGCTGGGTTCGAATCTCATGAGGCAGGATCGTGGGTGGGCACTGTTGAGGAGCCCCACAATAGGACGAAGTGGTCGTTCAGTGCTTTCAGGTTTTCCATGGTGGTCTAACTTCAATTGACTTATGATCTCAACTATTGAAATTATTCTTTATTTGTTTAATTTGTGAAGAGAGGTTACTCCATTTTGAAGTAACCTTTCTTTAAGAATTGTCATCAGCAAGAATGTCTTAGCTAAATGCTACTAACCATTATAATTTGAATATTTTAATCAGTGCGTATTATATGATGACCCGAATACAAAAGCAAACCTAGTCTCCTGATCATCACTTCCTAGTATATGTGAATGGCTTAGGACAAATCAGATTTCTATCACATCTTTGCCAATAAACAATCTTCAGTTCGTTAGCAATACATATACAATTGCAGTAGGATAGTAGAAATGTGGTTTCAATGTTTATTAAGTAAATAATACCTGAGGGATTGAACAATGAATTGGTAGTAGGTATAACTGAGTTAGAATTGATGAAACTTGTTTCATTGATTGTTGTGACAAGTGTTGTAGCAGAATTATTAGCAGTAGTGATAGTAGGTCCAATTTTTTGAAAAACTGGACTAGAGACATTGGAATTGTTTACGACAAATGGTGCAGACGATTGACCTATAGAAGTACTACCACTAGATGTACTCACGATCGGCAATGATGATGATGGTGATTGAGGCTTGAATAAAGTAGACTTTACGAATAGATTACTACTATCATTGGCAGTTGAAGATACATTGAAAGCTTGTTTATGAAATTTTGAAAACAAACAAATAGTTAATCTATTATTTATTCTAAGTATTACATAATGCAGAGAATAGAAACAAAATATACATTACAACAAGGACAAGCAAAACAAGTAAGATAATGAATAAATTATTTGTAAATTGGCTGCATCACATAATGATCTCAGTCATTTTGTCGGTGATCAAAATGTAGTACTGGATAGCTATTTCTTTCTAGCACCAGACTTCTCATCAGCGACCACATACAATCTCGCTAGGGATCGGACGCAAGACATTAAGGTCTCTCAGAAAATGTTTAAACATTGAAACTGCTGGATAGTGGGTTTGATCCCTGCTGGGATCATGAATATGCGTTACCGAGAAAGCTACTACTAGGACAAAACAGATATCCACTGTTCCCTGGTTTTGAACAATACCTTAACAGGTACCAATAAAAAAACGTTTCAATCAATGAAATTATTAATAACTGTGGATTCTCATTACCTGACGTGATATTCGGTTGAGTGAATAAGGGCTGTTGAATTGGTTTCATCCCCAGTGAGAATGATTGCTGGAACGTAGTAATGTTTGGATCATCTTGTTTAACATTTGAAACTGGTGCAGAATTTACTACTGATGATACAGTTGAACTGTTTGCAATTTGATTTCTTGTCAAATTAAAAGCTATATTTGGTGGTTTACTACTAATGACAGAAGTAGGAGTATTAGGAGAAAGAGGTGTAGATACTGATGATGGAACAGCTTCAGTTTTATTGACAACTTTCACACTTTTCTCAGTCGATGGTTTAGGAGATTTGGGAACAATAGAGACTTCGGTATTAGAGGCAACTGCAATAAAAAATAAAACTTATCGTTATGTACATCATACAAATATCAATAACACACGTAAATTTGGCAGATTAACTTTGGTCGTTTTTTAAATCGCAAGCTGATCATAGTTACAAGACCATTGTAAACAAAGTATGGAACAGTTATACACCAAAGGATCGGAAGATAGTCGGGGAATATCGTAAATTGATTGAAATTAACCACTAACACCGTTGAGTATCATCTCAGTGATCTATGCGTTAAGCGTCCCTGCACGAGATTTGAGAGTCCTAGGTTAGACTGCCTGTGGCGATGTCATAGATACCCACTGCAGGGGAACTACATACTACAACGAAACAGCTGTTCAATGCTTCCCAACTTTAAATGGTGGTTCTCAATTTAAAAATTACGAAAATTGACTTTGATTACTTACATCTGTCAGGTTGAGGGAGAGGAGACTAAACACCTTGATATGTCCCAAAGAGTAAACAATACAGATTACACTACATTCCAAAGGAAAGTAGTGTTCTGGTTCCACGAAAAACTCTACATACAACTGTGTTTGACACAAGTGTGAAGTCGAGGAAGCAAGGAGTTCAGTAGTGAGGCATTTATACAAAAATACCGAACATAACTGAACGACTAACATCAAAATAGCAACAACGACAACACAAGACTGAAACAAACGGTCCCTCCAAGGAAGTTTACATCGAGCAAAATAGACATTCTTACTTATAGTCGAAAATAATATATTTCATTTTAGAAAAAGAACTCACTTTCTCCTGAGACAACAAGTAACTGTTCTAATTTGGAATTCTTCATATTTCCAGGAGCTATACAGAGAGAGATAGGGAAGCAATAACTTTGAAATGTTATGATAATCAATCAATAAATCTCATTTCTTTTTTATTTAATTTTTAAAGCTTGCTATTAAGAACACTAATCTGTCGTAAATTTTACGTAAACCCGAAAACCGCTTATCATAGAGTGAGACGTTTGCTGAGGTGGGAACAGGTTAGAAGAAAGCTTTGGTGGTTAAGTCTATGAAATCATTAACTGTTGGACTGATCTGTGTTGATAGGTGAAGAATATCTGCTTAGGGTCCACGTGATGGAGACGTTGAATGACATATTCCAGAATCAATCGTACAGAAGCATTCACATTTCATAAAATACTTAAATCTTTTATTGTACGGACTGATTATATCTTCTCAAATTATATTCTATACGCCTAATCTTTCCTACTCCTACTGACACTGCAGATACTTCTACTCAACTGGTATTTGTCTTGATAATTTCATCTCTCTGTGTTCTATTGGTGTCGCAGCCTGAACCTATGCATAGATGTGTCAGGTTCTAAATTGTGTGTGACCAACTGATGTAGCGACGAAGTACACTTTTTTTAAAGTATACAGACCACTTTAATTGTTATCTCTACCGCCGCTTTCATGACCAAGTTTCTTAGCACTACGTGTAGGACAGAGATAGCAGACGTTTTGGATAAATAAAGTAAAATATTCTAAATACAACCTGCTATCATTGATAAACATGTTTGAATTTATTTTCATTAATTTATGCACAAAGTATTTGAGTATGAGCCATGCTCCAAGAGTGAGGGCTGGTTGGCTAAATCTAAAGTGAAGCGAGGTTCGGTACTGAGACGTAGAAACTCAAAATCGAACGCCTGGCTTAACCACTTACCTACGGGTCCATGTGTACAATATTTAAACTAGATACGAGGTGATTAATTAAGAATTATAGCACAATATGAGTATCGACACACAAAATAAGGTTCGTCTACATATGGTTGGGAATGAATAACAATGTTTCTCGGTTAAACCATAAAGCTGCTCAAAATACGTTTAGGTTGAATACAAAATGGTTATTGCTTTATAAAGCCTGTAAAGAATCCGTCGATGTAGGATCCATTCGTACGTTTTTAACAGACTGTAAGCATTAATAACTTATTGTTTAAAGAAAATCATCTCATTTTTCTCTATCCAAGGAGAGTATGGTGGTTTAGTGGTTACATCAAGGAGTTCGACCTTAAGCTACTGAGTTCGAACTTTGATTTATCCACTTTGGTTTGAAAAACCACTTATTACTAACCCCAACATTTAAACTGTGGCTCGATCCCGATCTGTACATGGTAATGAGTTAATAATCATCAACAGCATCTACTTAATAAGGTTAACTATTTTACTTCCTTTACTAAAGAGAATCAGAAAAGTGGATTACTACGTTGAATAGTCCTTTCTTTAATTATTCGATGAAGTAACGAACATAATCTAAGAAGATGATGATACTATGATCCTTAATTTCAATACACGGGGACAATCTTAATCACAACTTCCAGATTTAAAATGTGGCATAAGAACAAAGTGACAATAGATAAACGGACTAAACATCATTATTCAGCCACAGTAAAATAGCTGCAGACTTACATTTACCTTTTTTTTTTAAAAAACAATCATCTAATTGATTGAAAAAAAGAACATTAACATCACTCATTAGTTAAGACATTGTATGATATGGTGTCTTAGAGTTAGAGAAGTTGGCTTACAATCAGCTTATTTAATATTTAAAACCTGTTCAGTCGACCGGATAGTATCGTTACCCATCTAAACAAGTTATTTAACTAAAATTCGAGTACATAAAACTGTACTTGATAAATGAGTAACAATCAATAAAAAATATCAAGAAAGGACCAAAACTATGTGATACAATTCATTCTTCTTAAATATGATCTATTCAAGGCTCACTATTTTGATAAGAATACCGCAAAATCATTTAGCTTTTTTTTAAAGAATTTTTATTAAACAAAAATCTATTAAAACTTGAATTTTATTGAATATTACGATTTTTCTAAGTTTCTCACATCTTTCTATTCAATCACATGAAGGGTTGCCGGTGAAGTCTTGTACTAGTAGTTCAATCTATCTAGTTCGTATTTCATTATATTAGAAGAATCAGCTAATTGTTCGGAATTCGAAATTACGGTAATCTATCACAGGACAGAACAGATACAAAGGTTCTGATAAGACAAATTTATAAGTCTACTTGCAATTTGATAAGCATCAATATCAAATTAAGTAAACGATAGCTATTGACACTTGCACAATTTATCAAGGCATACAGAGTATCAATGTTCTGGAATATACCCAGTAAGCATCAATTCAGACAACTGCAATAACATTACATATATATATACACACTAAGTAATACTTACACGAGGTAGTTTTCATCTGTGAATGATTTAATGTTCCGGATTGCACATCGGAAAATGATTGACTTTGGTCTTTGACAGTTTCACTTTCGAGTGAAATGGATGGACAAAGTTTCAACGGATAAATAACTGGTACTTTATAATTAGAAAATAGGCGTAATAAAGCTTGATCTCGTTCAATTAGCATATTTCGATATGGATTCATTAAATCAGTATCATCGCTGGGATCGGGAGCGCAATCATTTAAGAATGAAATATTTGAACAATTTAAACTTTTACGCATAGACTTTGGTTTTCCTTTTTTTTTCTCACATTTACTATCATATTTCATAGGGCTTAAACCTAAGCGTTTTAAATTTTCCACAATAAAATCAACTCGACTACGCTCCGCTCGAATAAGATTAGAATTTGTATCAATAGTACGCATGATGTTCGAATCATTATTAACACTAGAAGAGAAGTTGAAAGTAATATACGATTATTATTATTATTATTATTATTATTATTATTATTATTATTATTATTATTATTATTATTATTATTATTACTAAACAATGCCATACATATTTTCAGGTTGTATTTATCAAAGGCTAATTTCCTTTAGAAAACCATCGAAAGCAAGGGAACGCCAAACAGTCGTTTAGTTCTAGTATACGGTTACTTAAAAGTGCGCACAAAAGACTTCCACCATTGAACTCAAGATATTCAGGCATCGTAGCGAACACTTAATCATTAGAACTAGAGGCGCTGGCCACCAGTAAAATTTTAAGTTCAATCAGTTTGTGACATGGTACAATTATCAACGCGGCCAATGACAATTGTTTGACTCGTTGACAAGGTGAACACAATTAATTAGAACGTTCGCTAGAACTTTAAGAGCTTTTTTAAGTCAATAGTGAGTCATGCACTGCTGGGGAGGTTCCTATTAGGACAAAACAGATTAATTGAGTAAGTTCAAGAAAAAAAAGCCTGAATCCAGGAAAACAAAGAGAAACTACAAAGAACATGGGAATTACTTCACTTTAAACATTTTTGAGGAATTTGTGATGAGCAAAACTAGTTGGTAAAAATGCAACTGGATTAACCATGTACGGATTTGTGTACTCAGCATTAGACAGTATTATTTTTACGAGAGCCAGTGACACCCTTTTCCAGTCACCAGAAATAAAGCAAGGTGACAGACGGATTTAGTTTGAGGTGATTCCCTGATTTTGGATGAGACGCTTTGTGACAGGCTGTGCAGACAATCAAGTTCGATTTCAATAAACCAAAAGTGAGTTTAGACATATTACGTGCCTGTGCTCACATGATCTCTTAGGGTCGAATGTCAGGTGAGAAACTGTGAACAAGGCATACTATTGGAGGAAGCCAATTATGCCCCCTGTGAAGGTCCTAACATGCATGTCTTTGTCCGGGTTAGAAGGATAAATGAATATGTACTAGTGATTGTGCAGGCTTAGCTAATAGGTTTTGCCAATGACAACTCCACAGATATTTTCTAGCCTACTCATTAGAATAGTTAGTTAACTACAAGTATGGGATATATGTATATCTGAATTAGACGTAGTAGATTGTAACAACACTGACTACAGTTTAAACTATAAATCGTTGGATTGCAGGCCAGAGACCCAATGGTATCATACTCGACAAGAGTGAGGTTTTGATGTTTTGGGTTCGATTCTGTTTGTGTGTCCATATAGATTATACCAAACTACAAAGATGAGACAATTATTGCAATTGTTCGCTGATTTCTATTCAGTCTATGGCAATTGATTTAAGGCGATAGTAAAATATTCAAAAAAAGCCCACTTACCTATTGCTTATCGACAACTTATCTTTCCTCTGTTGATTAGGTGATGACAGCATGGTTGCTGTTGCTGTTATTATGTTTTTCGATTGAACCATTGTATTTAATTCTGTAGATAAACTTTCAATCTGATTTTCTAAATCATATAAACCAGCTTCAGCTAAACGTGCACGTCGTTTTAATTGACTAAATAATCGATTGGTTTCTGGATCTAGGTGACCTGATATAGTGTGAAACCAATCACCGCTAGCATATAAACGTAATGCACGACGTAAACGTTCACCGAAACGAACTGAATTTGTTAAATCTTCTTTACGTTCATTTAACGCGTTGGTTAGTTCGACAATAACCTAGAATATTCGTGACAGAGAAAAAGAGAGAAACAGTGATTTTGACAAAGGGATATGACAATACACTTAAATACACTATAAAACCATTAATTTAAGAAGCCATTTCGGGAGCGAAGGTTTCCCCCAATGGTATTGGATGATTGCTACACTGCTGCGAACTGAACGAAGTTCAAATTGTACTATTGGGACCCAACACAGCAGTTCTAATCGATAAGTGTACTCTGAGAGGTCTGAAGGTGCTAATTTTAATCCCCGATGAGCTCGTGGGTGGTGTAATGGTAAGGAATCTCATACTGGAACGAAACAACTGTCTAGTGTTCCCTGGTTTTCAATGGTACCCTAACAAATACTAATCCGCGATGAATGTAATCTACCAATAAGAAACATTAAAATAATGATTATATATGAAGCTTTAAATATAGATGATTCAGTGGTGACAAGTAATCAAGTTGGTCATAAAAATCCAGTATTTAGCATAAATATCCATATGTTTAAACTGTTTTACTTTGCATCAGTACTTTGAGAGATGGAATTAACATAAGAGACACACATAGAAACAGTTGGTATGAAATATGGCTCGTGGGTTGCTTAAATGTTTATGCCATATTTACAACTGTACAAATATTGCAAAAAATCTATTCACCTGATATTTTGACTTAATAATTATAGATGCTAACTGTCGTATATACTCGTGGATTTTTATGTTTAAAAAAAGCTTACAACTGAGCGAAATGATAAATGATGAAAATATCAAACAGACAGATCTTAGTTCTTAGTATGTTTTACATCTTGTCTATCTTTTAAAGTAGCATCAAAACAATCAGGTATTCAATGTATGATAGATGAAGAATAGAAACAGTTGTGACAAGTGAACTGATAGAAAACTTTCATGATTAAAGATGAATATCGGATCCTAACTACAACTGTAAAGCACTCAGAAAAAGGCATTTTTGAATAATTACAATTCGAATCCACTTTAAAGATAAAATCGTTACAATAATGCGTAATTATTATTACATGAGTTAAACGTAAGTGATATAATCCGAAAAGAATGAATGAATATGTGACCAATTCCGAACAATCTCATCCAACTGCGAGGATCGATGTCATGTCTTGATCCAGTCGCCACCGATATGTTTTCTCTCACCAGCTCTTATTTATTCGTCAATATATTTAGCAGTAGATAGTAGTTAGGCACGTGTGCGACAGGTTTCCACAAGCTCAATCGATGGAGATTCACAACCTCATCAAATGACAGAGCATTTTCATAACAAAGTACTCTAAGCTTCTGTGACGCTCAGTTATTGGTTTTATCACATGTAAGTAACGTTTCTAAAACAGCTCTACATGTCGACACATCATTTACTTTCAGAAAAAATTTCACTACAAATAAAAAAGCGAATTCCTCAGCAGTGATCATTATAGTGTAAGTACGAAGTTTACCAACATGGAGGACTATACTAAAAAAGATACAACTACCGTAAATCAGAAATTTAAAAAAGGATGTAAACAAAAATTCGTTTTTTAGAACGAACGTAAGCGCTAACGTTTATATCATAACAGATAACTATTGGAAATTCAACTGAATATCAATTAACCGAAATAAAATTATTAAGATATATAAATGAAATCAAATTGTTAAGAATAATATACTGTTGTTAGTTTGAGAAAATTCTTATACTTAAAAAATTTATGAACCAAAGCTGTGAATTTATAGTAAAGTTAAATCGTAGCTAACAGCAGAAGACTTATCAGCGGAATTCCACTTGCATATGTTGGTGTCGATTCCTAAAGTGTTAATCCACTAAGATACTAAATTCACATAATCACTCATTTTTTTTGTTTACTAGGCAAGAAGTTATGTATATCTATATGTTTAAGTATTCCTATTGTTGATCTTAAAGAGTATATTTGATCAGTTTCTATTGCTATATGTGTATTCTGAGAGGATTGTATCGGTATTGTGTTTAATTGCAAATACAAAGCTCAAACCCTTATATATATATATATATATATATATATATATATATATATATATATAAACTCTCGATACACATTCTGACACTTCTTATTAATGAAAATCAAATGAAAAACACTTCACACTTACTTCATTCATTGCTTTGAAAAAACGATCAACATTATGCAAACGTGCTTCAATAATATCTAAACCGATAGATTCACTAGACTTTTTATCTATTGTTCCATTTATTAATACATTGAATAAATTTTCCCAAGCATGACGTCCAGCTTCACTTTCTAATTGTAAAGCAGATGTAAAATGTGTAGCAGCTAATTGTATAGATTTAGGTAATGGTAAATCACCTAAATGGTTGATTGGTGTTTTACATTGATGTATAGAATTTTCTTTATTAACAGGAACAATCGTTGAATTTACATTATTAATGTGATTAACGGAACTATTTGTAATTGTATTTTTGTGCAATGAACTACTGAGCTTGGATTCAGTTGATATTTTATTTAAACTAGTTACTGTATAAAAATGATAAGACAAGTACGAAAAAAAGGGCAATGACATGCAATGAATTAAAAACTTGAAATCTAAGGTAATTAATAAAACCAATCAGTCAGTTAGTCGAACACAGTGTAGAATCTGATGCATATATGTACATAGGTTTAAGTTACCATATATCATTACAACAGTGATATGACATTGTCAAGGCAAATCCTAAAGTAGTAGAGGTAATAACCTTACTTAATAAAACAATAACATAATAATCTAACCTATTCGCACAAAGTACAGATTCTATATACTCGATTTTTAACTACAATTTACTTGTATGAAGGTTAGAGGGTGATAGTAAACTACCCGGTTGCTTGAACGGAATTATATGAGGAGTGGGATTTCAACTTGTAAACTGTTGGTTGTAAGTTGAGTATTTGCCTTGTAACCTATGGATGGGAAAGAAATTTAATTTTCAAGATAACTGGAGAGTACATTAACCAAATTAAAATGATCATCACTCTGCCGTTGTTTTCACATCACTTAGTGAAGAAGGTGATAAAACAGAGCAAGAATTGAACCCGATAGTTCAATATTAATTGCACTGAAATGTAAATTACATACAGTTCTCGTTTCTCCAATCACTTAAATGTTGAATGACTTCTTGTATTCAATATTTTAGATATAAGCGTGTCATTCTGTTAAAAGAGCAAACCTATTCTTCTGTTCAATAGTTTTGTCTTTGATTTCTCATCTTTCGAAGGCTTACGCCAATAGTTCGGTTTTGTGAGCAGCTATCATTCAACTTAGATGTCTCATTTAACTTCATCAATTGATCAACATTCATTTCAACAATCGTAAATCCGATCATCGAATCATGAAATCCCACTCTATAACACTTCTAACCATTAAACGACTGCTCCACACGCATTCAAATGATGAAAATCTCTTTGGCCTTTTTTACGATATACGCCAAGTTTACATAACATTTACACAACAATACTAATTTGATACGTGTGATGTTTCTGTACATACACAGAAACGAAATCAACCGTTTATACATGAGAAATAACATTTACATGGAAAATGGTAGCTACCATTGTCATGTTTCTATATTTTTTTCATGGGTTGTGAGCAAACATATAAAACGTGTACAACTTTTGTAGTTCATATAAGACCAACCACATCCTTACGTATACTTAATTAATCATTAATCACACATGATACTCTCATCACTCAAAAGAAAAATTGAAAGATACAAGAAAAAACAACACTAAAGTACTATAACATGACACCCAATCAATAATGAAAAACACAGAGTTGGAATAAATGATCGGTTGTTGTGCACTAATACACATGTACATATCTGTTAGTATTTGTTGTTGCTTTTGTTTTCACTGAAAAACAAATCTTAGGTGATACTATAATCACCTAGAATATGGTCGACTTCTTCAACAGGTATGCGGAAATTCACATGGTTTTCGTGTTATATACACAGAATTAGAGCAGTTGATATTTCAAAAAAGGGTAATTAAAATTGAAAAAGAAAAAAGGGATAAAAGCAATAATATCACGTGAGAACTTGAACGTAGTGGTGAACAGAATGGAAATGATGAGAAAACTATGAAAGTATGTAATTATCCACCTCTTTACAAAAGTACAATTTTATTTCTTCTATACAACGATTTATTTCTGAATTACTGTACACCACGGTCATCAATAAGATTGTATTTATTATTTATTTTATTTGAACACATAAATATTGGTACAAGGGGGCACCAAATACATATGCGCCACACAAAATATGAGAATGGGAAGAGAGAAAGAATGTAACGTGCGTATAAGAAAAAAAGGAAGAGAACAATAGCGACCACAGATTACTGTATGGTAGTGTAATAATAATAATAATAATAATAATAATAATAATAATAATAATAATAATAGGGGAAACGGAAAGGTACAACCAGAAAGTATTCTTCCAGTTAAGGAAGTTACAACTACTTTTTCATGAAGAAAGTAAAAGAAAGTTACAGCAGGATCACCACTGGCTTCTATTCTGAGCCATATCTAATAACGTCTCTAGCCACTGTGTTACACCATCTCTCGGACCCCAGCCAGGGAGTCGAGAAGGACCTACAGAAGCCAGCCCTTTGCAGCCTTCTTTCATACCACGACACTATGTCATATACTGACCACCTCTCCACTTTTTACAACCAGTCCCAGCGTCAGCAAATAGTACTTAAAATGATAGTTTAAAAGGAAACTATGCTATGTAAGATGGCCAATCCAAGATATGTCATTAGCCTACGAGGTCGTTTACTGATGATTGGTGCAAACTATCTTGATTAGAGTCCTTGTGATTATCATAACCAATGATTGGAGATATCGGATGATATACCTTAGAATCGGTTGCAATAGAACAGATGCATTCACGCTTGTTTTTCCCGTAGATCTTGAGATTTTTTACGATTATGAGATAGAGAATGATAGCTTAATCAACTGAAGTGAGAATGATATACGAAATTGACTTTTTTTCCAATCGTGTGTGACATGCATTCACACTTCAGATAAATTATGGGTTGAAAAAAAGTAACAATATGCGTTGAAGTGAAAACGCTACCCTGACATGTAATTACGAAGTTTTTACAATGAGTAGTAGAAACGTTGAAAGCATCCTATCGGCAATAAATTATATTTAATGGATGGTGAATAGAATCGGCCGGCTACTAACAACAGGAAAGTAAGTCAGTCATGTGAAAGTACAGAACCTCAAACAAGTGTATCAGCGGGGGAGGACATAAAATTTAAGATTTACAGGAAAATAGAGAAAGTATCCACCTCCATTATTGTTACTGATTTCGCATCGACATCCAACGCATCCAGCCGCTACTGATTACAGGTGTTGTTTAGGATCCAACCAGGAAGTCCGCACCTCCCGATATAGATCAGACAGAAAAGTAAATAACTTGGTGAGTTAATATTATATTTTAATCACCCTACTTCTGTCTTTTTTCTGACCCACTCATATGTCAGCCAACATTAGTTAGACATACGTAACACAAATCTTAACCACTTTAGTTTATGAAGGTTTACAACTTCCTCAATGACTACATAACTTTACTAACCAAACATTCTTTACAAAAACGTACGGTAAATAACATGGTGAACATGTTTTAAATAATCTTAAAGAAGCCACCAATACTGCTTCAAAATAAGCTGCATTGATCTATCAAAGCATCGATTTATTTTCTATGAAAAATAATTGAAAATGAACTTTGACTGTGTCATGGTTGAAAAGAAAAAAGTCATTTCCCTCGCTTTACATAAAATTAACATATCAAGCACATTCACAAATACACAACACTTTACGGAATGCCTTGAGTATTAATCAATTCTTGGAAAGGGATTTTAAAATAAACCATATGAAGATAGACTAAGGATTTGCAAAATGATAAAGCTACTTAATTGAACTAAACTTGTAGAACAAAGGTAACAACAAAATTGTTTCAATAGTGCCAAAAATCTCTATTTTAGGTCAAAGGACTTTTTAATGTTGTAAAATGATAGATAAAAGTTAGTTAGTCAGTTATAAGCCCAAAAGTGGATATACATACCAGATCCAAGTTTCTACATCGCATTATCACACATGATATTAATCAAGACAAATCCTAGATTAATAAAAATAGTAACAATACCAGTGGTAGTAAAAAAGATTAGGTATGGACAACACAACTCCGCCTGGAGTCCCTCCGGGGGCTACTGCCGGTCCCAAGCCTGGATAAAGGAGGAGGGTTGGGCATGGGGTTAGCGTCCCCATCCCGTAGAAAACTAACTCGCTAAAAAAACGCTAACCAGAAAAAATTATTCAATCCTTTTAAACTCTGCCCTGGGAGTCAGAAGATCTTCATTTAGAAGAATTATGACGCCTCATGATGAAAGCCGAATCCCTTCGGAAGTTACGAGGCCGATGCCCCTTCTGACAACCAGAGCGACCATTTATTTAGGTACACGGAATGTTCGTACAATGTGGGACACCGGAAGAGCCTTCCAAATTGCTGCAGAAATGAGAAGATACAACCTAGAGGTACTTGGGATCAGTGAAACACATTGGACACAAGTTGGACAACAACGACTAACTACAGGAGAGCTCCTGTTATACTCCGGCCATGAAGAAGAAAATGCACCACATACACAAGGAGTTGCATTGATGCTGTCCAAACAAGCGCAAAATGCACTTATAGGATGGGAATCTCATGGACCAAGGATCATCAAAGCCTCCTTCAAAACAAAGAAAGAGGGCATTTCAATGAACATCATCCAATGCTATGCGCCTACCAACGACTACAATGAAGACGCTAAAGACCAATTCTACAATAGGCTGCAGTCAATAGTCGAGAAGTGCCCAACAAAGGACCTGACCATTCTGATGGGAGATTTCAACGCCAAGGTTGGAACGGACAACACTGGATATGAAGACATCATGGGACGACACGGACTGGGAGAAAGAAACGAAAATGGTGAGAGATTTGCAAACTTATGTGCCTTCAATAAGCTGGTCATAGGCGGCACCATATTCCCACATAAACGCATACACAAAACCACATGGACTTCACCGGATCACTCTACACAAAACCAAATCGACCATATTTGCATCAACAAAACGTTCAGGAGGACTATAGAGGACGTGAGAACCAAGAGAGGAGCTGATATAGCATCAGATCATCACTTACTGGTCGCCAAGATGAAATTGAAACTCAAGAAGCACTGGACAACGGGGCGGACAATATCACAAAAGTTCAATACGGCCTTTCTCCAGGATACTAACAAACTCAACAAATTCAAGATAGTCCTCAGCAACAAGTTCCAGGCCTTTCATGATCTACTCAATGGAGAAGGAACTACTGTGGAGAGCAACTGGAAGGGGATCAAAGAGGCAATCACTTCAACATGTCATAAGGTCCTGGGTCACAAGAAGCACCACCACAAGGAATGGATCACTGTTGATACACTGGATAAGATTCAAGAAAGAAGGAACAAGAAGGCAGCGATCAATACCAGCCGAACAAGAGCAGAAAAAGCCAAGGCACAAGCTGAATACACGGAAATAAACAAACAAGTGAAGAGGAGCATCAAAACCGACAAACGTAAATATGTGGAAGATTTAGCAACGACGGCGGAAAAGGCTGCAAGAGAAGGAAACATGAGACAATTGTATGACACGACAAAGAAACTCTCTGGAAATCGCCACAAACCAGAACGACCAGTGAAAAGCAAGGAAGGCAAGGTAATCACCAACATTGAAGAGCAACAAAACAGGTGGGTAGAACACTTCAAAGAACTCTTGAATCGACCAGTCCCAGTGAACCCACCCAACATCGAAGCAGCACCCACGGACCTCCCAATCAATGTTGGCCCACCAACAATTGAAGAAATCAGCATGGCCATCAGACAAATCAAGAGTGGCAAAGCAGCAGGATCGGACAACATCCCAGCAGAGGCACTAAAAGCAGACGTAGCGGCAACTGCATGGATACTCCACATTCTCTTCAATAAGATTTGGGATGAGGAACAAGTACCAACAGACTGGAAAGAAGGACTACTGATCAAAATACCGAAGAAAGGCGATCTCAGCAAGTGTGATAACTACAGGGGCATCACTCTTCTCTCAATACCGGGCAAAGTTTTCAACAGGGTATTGTTAAACAGGATGAAGGACTGCGTAGACGCCCAACTTCGTGACCAACAGGCAGGATTCCGTAAGGATAGATCGTGTACAGACCAAATCGCAACTCTACGGATCATTGTGGAACAATCAATTGAATGGAATTCATCACTCTACATCAACTTCATTGACTACGAAAAGGCATTTGATAGCGTGGACAGGACAACACTATGGAAACTTCTTCGACACTACGGCGTGCCTCCGAAGATAGTCAATATCATACAGAGTTCATATGATGGATTACACTGCAAAATCGTGCATGGAGGACAGTTGACAAAGTCGTTCGAAGTGAAGACCGGTGTTAGGCAAGGTTGCTTACTCTCACCCTTTCTCTTTCTCCTGGTGATCGACTGGATCATGAAAACGTCAACGTCCGAAGGAAAGCGCGGGATACAATGGACATCTAAGATGCATTTGGATGATCTAGACTTCGCAGACGATCTGGCCCTTCTATCCCAAACGCAACAACAGATGCAGGAGAAGACAAACAGTGTGGCAGCAGCCTCAGCAGCAATAGGTCTCAATATACACAAAGGGAAAAGCAGGATTCTCCGATACAACACAGCATGCACCAACCCAATCACAATTGACGGAGAAGATTTGGAAGATGTTAGAACCTTTACATATTTAGGCAGCATCATTGATGAACAGGGTGGATCTGATGCAGATGTAAAGGCGCGGATCGGCAAAGCAAGAGCAGCATATTTACAACTGAGGAACATCTGGAACTCAAAGCAACTGTCAACCAACACCAAGGTCAGGATTTTCAATACAAATGTCAAGACCGTTCTACTGTATGGGGCAGAAACCTGGAGAACTACGAAAGCCATCATCCAGAAAATACAGGTGTTTATCAACAGTTGTCTACGCAAAATACTTCAGATCCATTGGCCGGACACTATTAGCAACAACGTACTGTGGGAGAGAACAAACCAGATCCCAGTGGAGGAAGAAATCAGGAAGAAGCGCTGGAAGTGGATAGGACACACATTGAGGAAAGCACCCAACTGCGTCACAAGACAAGCCCTCACATGGAATCCTGAAGGTCAAAGGAAAAGAGGAAGACCAAAGAACACATTACGCCGGGAAATGGAGATAGACATGAGAAAAATGAACAAGAATTGGATGGAACTAGAAAAGAAGGCCCAGGATAGAGTGGGTTGGAGAATGCTGGTCAGCGGCCTATGCTCCATTGGGAGTAACAGGCGTAAGTAAGTAAAAGAGTAAGTATGGACAACACAATTCAAGAATAAATTCGTGGAGAAAATAGAAAGTATAAAATAATTTTGAAATTCAAAATCTAAGGGGCAGTAATCCAGCCCTCGCGCAAATTGAACGATGAAGTGTGGCGCACATATATTTGGTGCCACCATGTGGCAATGTTTATGTGTTTAAAAAATTATATAATAAGGGAAAGTATAGTTCATGTACATACACCATTGTGACCGAACATATGAAAGATAACAGTTTGACACTGTTATACAGTTGCGTTAAAGATGAAATAGGCAAACGATAAATGATGCTAATATACAGGAAAAGTTCCACAAGATTATTGTTGATCGAATGACTTATATAATGAAACTTTGGCAATATATAATTGCATGTAGAAATAACAAAAAGAAAACAAGAGCTTTCATATATCAAGAAAGACAACTCGATGTAAAGAAACACGACTGTGTAAATAATATTTACATGATCTCAGGTCAAACGATAATTGAGTTTAAACAACCAACAGAAAAAGAGGTTACATTTGCACGGAATTCATGGTTTCTAGTAAATGTTATGTAAAAGGTGATAATTCAAATAAAATGATTCTTAGAATTTATTTTTTATTTATTTAAGCATAAGCATTGGTACAAGGAGGCACCAAGTAGATATGCGCCACATAAATCATTCGATTCATGTGAGGGCTGGGATACTGCCCGGGTGCCCAGACGGAAGCAGGTGGTTTTCTTAGGGGACCACACTCCGAGCCTTTGACCTAAAGGTCTGACCCACAAGGAAGTGGAGCATCATAAGTAGATGCAGTCTCATGGTAGCCGGTGACCAACGATTGTTTCATACGCCATTTGCTCCCCCAGGATACTGGAGCCCATGTGCACCATTGGTTTGGAATCCGGTAAAAGCGCCGGACATTCGCTTTTCGCCCTCTCTATTTCGTAAACAACACCCCTGCCACGAGAATGCAGTGAGTATGACTTCCCTGGCAGAGGCTGTATACGCGTGGTTGTGTGAGAGCATTTCGAGAAGGAGGGCGGCTCCACCCCACTCTCGGCCATAACCAGGGCATTTACAAAGATATTTTTATCTACAAGGATACATTTTATATTGTTATACAGATTGAATTTTATAAATTCCCACTTACACTTTCAACAATCCATCAGTAATGATAAAAGTATATTTTACGAATCCACACCGAAAATTATTTCATATAAAGGGATTGAAATTTGTTTGCTCAATTACACTCATTATCAGATAGATAATTCAGGAGAAAAAAACATCATATCACAACAGAATATAACTTACATGGAATAGAGGATGTTATCGATTGTAAGTTGCTGCTGTTGTTGCTACTACTATTACCACTACAAATGGCTGTATTAACTGGCAAAAATTCTGAAACACGATGTTGATCATTAGCAGAGTCAACTGATGTAGTAATCTGTTTTGCTTGATTGGTCATCATCATCATCATCGACACTGCCGGATTATTATTTGAAGCTGAAATCAGTGTAGGTGATTTAGGTGTATCCAATGGTGATTTCTCAGTTGTTGAATGTAATACAGGTTTTGGTATCGATAAACTAATTAATTTAGGATTATTTAGATTGAGTACATTTAATTGATCATTTGAGTTTAATAGATAAGGGCCAATATTTCCATTAGACAAATATGTTAGTAAATATATTAAAGAATTTTCAACAGATTCATTAGTCTAAGTAATGAAATAAATAAAAATTAAAAATAATAATAATAAAATGTAATTAATCAGTAATTTAATCAATAAATATCGATAGAACTCATATGAAATTTGAAAAGTTTAAAGGATTTACACATTGGGAAATGACTTTACTAAAAAGAAATAATAAATAAGCAGAATTCTTGCTTATATGACCGTAATTATAAAAAAAAGGGGGGAAACAGTGTAAAACTGGCAAACAAGAATAACTGTAACCAAAAAACACATCATAACGAAAGAAAATCAGCCGGATAGAGTCCAATACATGTGCATGACGGGCCTAATTTGTTACACTGTATTACTATAGTGAGATATTTAAAAAATTAACAAGAAATCGAAATAAAAATGGCATAAAAGACAGCAGAATGAAGAAAAGACTAAACACAAAGAATATAATCTAAATTCATGGAATTAAGAGTAGGAAATAACAGTGAAAATTCAAAATTGAGAGGAAGGACACCGGATGAATATATCTGTGATACTGTAAACTTATTTTGAACTATATTACCTAAGCTGTCTAATCATACTGATTACGATTATAGAGTACGCTTTAATGGTGCTAAAAGCCACAAATTCTCTTATGTAGGGTTGGGTCAGTCAGTCAGTCAGCTACAACGTAGGACCAGGTACACATATGCATCGGTCCAAGTTGCCATACCTCATTAACACAACAAGATGGACACCGGATTCATAAAAGTAGTTAATTCAGAGGTGGTAATATATAAAAGAAACATTGCAATAAGGATATAGTACATGAAGAAATAATTAGTTCGTAGAAAGAAAGATATGAAGCAATTTTAATCTCTTAGTTTAAGGGAAGATAGAGAGTGTTTACACCGACGCCACTGTAATCGATTCTGAACCATGTCACCAAGAGTCTCCAACTATTGGTCACGATAGCCGCACGGACCCAAACCAAGTAGTCTGCATCTGCCAACATGGCTTAGATTAGGAGTTAGTGACTTCAAATACTGGTGCCACGTTTTGGTTTGGCCGCCCCTAACTTTCTTCCAACCATCCCCAACACCAGTTAGCATTGTAAGTCGTAGTAATCGGTGTTCGGGCATACTCAACACGGGGCTCAACCATCTCAGTCGATGAATATTCACAACCTCATCAACTAATTTATCATCATTTCGTAATATCCTTCGTTTAACCTCACTATTACTTGTCCGGTGATCCCAGCAGATGCGAGCAATATTTCTAAGACATTTGTGGTCAAATACTAGTAGCTTACGACTATCTTTAACTCTTAATTTCCATGTTTTGCTGCCGTAAAGTAAGAGAGAACGAACTGCCGCGCAGTATACTCGTCCGTTAATTGATAGACGGATATCTCGCTTTTGCCATAGGTGACGTAAGTTGGCAAAAGCCAAACGAACATTTCGAATCCGTGCTGAAATTTCGTCAGACACTAACCCATTAGGGCTGATCAGACTTCCAAGATAAGTGAAGTTGTCAACGCGTCCGATTACTTCACTCCCTATTCTTAGTCCAGGTGTTGACGCAGACCAGTCCTGAAGCAACAACTTGCATTTAGAGGGAGAGTGTAGGGTTGGGTAGTTAAAGAAAGCATTCAGTTTACAACCAATAGGTCATAGGTTTTAAAAAAACTGTCTTACCTATTTATCTCCATATGTGTAACCCGGTAGTATCGTTAGTCCCAATAAAATAAGGGGCAAGAAGACTAGAGAAAAGGTGATTACACAAGTATGTACTTGGTAAATGAACGATATTTATTCGATAACATTATTTTTAACTGAATGACAAAATGAAGAGAGAAAATACATTACATCCGGAATGTATAACAAGGACACTTTTCAAAGTACACGAGGACGAATAATAATAATAATAATAATAACATACTCAGAACTTACTTTATTCTGAAGAACTCCAACATCCATACTCATAGCACAACCATCAGCTGGTAATTCAATGCTCATTACAACTTCAGGTAAACTCCCAGAAGTTGTAGGTAGTTTTAAAACAATTACCTCTTCACCGACATATGCCAATGTAACAATGACATGGTTAGGCCCAAGAAAACGAAAATAATATTGTACTTTGTTATGATCCATATGACTACTAAGATTACCAATTGAGACAGCAGATGGTTCCGGAGATTTCGACTAGTAAAAGAGAAAAACAAAGCATGAAAATAAGGCCAATGACACATTGGTTATCTACGAAAAAACTTTCTGAACAAACCCACTCACCAGGTACGTAGGTATAAGGCACATTCTAAATGTGAGGAGTAATGTAACTATCTAAACCGAAGTAGATAAACCGCGATTCAAACTTATTGACTTATTGATAGAAATTTGAAGCCCTTAACCTCTAAGCCACTGAACTGAGATACTAAGGCTGTCAGTTAATTATTTAGATATAGGATCAGTCTGACCATGATGAACTATTTTTTTACTAGCAGTAAATTGTAACTTCTTTATAAGTGTTTCTATTTTCCTTAATTATTAATACTTTTTTGTAATTTTCAGTGTTATTTGATAATGGGTGTCCTGGTTTTTTCTGATTTATTACATTTACCGTAGAAGTGTTTGACGAATCGTGTGAGATCGAATTTATGTAGCGCTGATGAATGGCTGTACCACTACGATATGTTTTCACATTCAGCAATGAGTATCTAGGAATTCATGGAGCGTAATTTGATCAGCAAACTAAGCCATCCTTCGTATTTATTAAGCTTAGGCCCATTGTGATTTTTTTGTTTCTAAATTGTAAAACAGTCGTGTGGAAGGGGTCGTACCGGGGCCATCCGGACAATAATGTGATACAATTACACAGCCAAAGAGTTCAAATTCCGATAATTTCAAAGGATGCTTGGATTAATCAAAACGAATGTGGGACAAGTGTATTAGAGAGCATTATATTTTAAAGAGAATATAATATCTGTAACATAGATTTTGTAAAAACTGGTTTTTGCTACTTCAGTTGACATATTTGCTGAACAGATTATACTATGATAAACACTAATTGAAAAAAGTACAATGTAAACAATTATACATTTTCATTAAAATCAAAAACTATGCAGATAAAGAAAAAAAAAGGATTTATATTAAAGTTAATTGTAGAAATAAGTGTACTACTTACAGTTGTACTAATGTATAAAACATTTGTTAAACAATCTGAATGCACTTCATTTACAGATTGTTTAATAGCCAAAAGAAAATTATATGAAGATGTCCATAATAGATCTACTGGTAAACTATTCTTCCAATCTGAAATAAAATTTATATTACCATCAAGGAAATTTAGTTTAAAAGTACAATAGTAGTGTGTTAAGTTGATGTTTGTTTTTTTAGAAAAATAGATAAATTACAAGTTCACCTGTTATTATTATTGTTACCATACAATTTTGGTTAAGTTTAATAAGCGAACGTAAACATAATCTAGTTACGACAAACAACATGTATTAGTTCGTGAACTAGCGGTGTTATGGAAAGACACTTACTGTATGAGACAACTATGAAAACAGTATAATTTTCAATCATGGGTTGAACTGAATGTAATCTACTTTGAATGTAAAGCTGAAAATAAACAGCATACTGCTTGTAGTTTATATTACTGACTGAACCTAAACAATCCTTGAAGGCCAGGAAGAACTAGACAGTTGTTTCATTCCATTATGTGGCTCATCAGAAGCAAATATAACCATGATCCAGGACTTTCAGGGGCTGAGGCAGTTACATATCAATGGCATCAGAAGATAACTGAGGAATATCTCAAATTGACTCAAGTTAAAAATGCAAACGGTTAGAGGCCAGCCCAGTGATCTAAAGACTAAGCGATCTATGGGAGATCTCAAAGACAGGTTTTATTTCAGGTGGGATAACGGATAAGGAGTTCCATACCAGGACGAAACAAGTGTCCATTACTTTTTGTTTCCAAATAGTTCTCTAACTAAATTCAGTCCGTGATGTAAACTATAAAACTCGACAACCTCTACAAATTTTCTATGCCAATTAACCACTACTCTGGGATTTGTCTTGGTAATTTTATCTTTCTGTGCTGATGTGGTATGAAAACTTGAACTGATGCATGTGTCAGGTTCTACATAGCACATAACGACGTTACTGCTGAAAATCGAACGTCTTAACCAAATATGTTGCATTTAATTTGCTTAAACGTTTCTTTAATTACTTACCATGATTTGATTCGAACAGATGACCAAGTGGAACAATGCGCTTTTGTTGTAGTTGTGGATCTACCTGTAAAATTAAAGGACCTTGTACAATTCCATTTGCAGTGGACAGAGAACCATTTAAACAGATAGCAAGTTGTTTCCCTTTTGGACTCCAAGACACTAAACAAAACCCCCCAACAGAATAAGAAAAGGAAACAGAAATATTCGAAGCAATAAACACTAATTGAAGCATCGTCAAACATAATTTTATAATTCCATTTTAATCAACAAAACACACAGTTACGTTGTACTTTTTACTAGATTATATATCAGAGAGAATTTATTAGTTACAGTAATTCTTAATTTTACAACAACAATTTAAACACATATTTTTAAGCAGATTTGGATGGTGGGTAACAGTGGAATCTAGGACGGAAGTTTCATCCTACTTGGAATAAGTTAAGCAGATGTACCTGGATTTCAGTGTTAATGTTCACAACAAGATTCGAAACCAGTACTTTTCGCTTTAAGTCTACAATGTATTATTCACTTAGTTATGAAATCTAAGTAGCAACTGGCCTGTAAAACAGGATGAATCTAATTTATTTGTATTGGTTGCTTGAATCTTTCTCTCGATATTCTGAACTACAATTAGCCAGTCTCTTTAAAAATACGTGCATATCAAGCCGATTCGCACAGGATGCCCACGACAAAAAAGACTCATCAAATGTAATAACCAATACAAACGAGTATGTGTGTTCACATACAAGTAACGGACAATGTTTAAATGCGTACACTTCTATAACTTCGAAAATTTCTGTCTGGAGCGAGCACTGAAATCAGCGTCTGGATCGACAAGCTATTCGGAATGAACAAAACGTCCAAGTTTGAAAAAGTAACAAAATAACGAAATACTCGATCACGCACGTTAGCAGAAAATATTTTTCAAGTTTAAAGTAAATAACAAATCCTCGAACATGACAAGATTTAGCTAAAACTAATATACTCAAAACTTAATGTTTAATGTAACTTATTTACCAAGTACAAATCTGTGTAGTCAAGTTTAAACTATACAACTAGTAATATCAATCAACTGAATAAACCGAAGCAGATAGGGTGAAGTTTAAACTTGTTACTTCCTTTATGTGCATGTTCATCAAGATCTTGAAACCAATGAACCTATAGCACAGAACTCCACCATTTTCATTTTGTATCCAAGTAGATAAGCTGCTTTTCCTTAATCTTTCTCATTTTAAATGATAAGACCGCCAATGGATGTCAATATGACAAACAGGGACTAAACTTTGTGATAGTCACATAGGAAGAGAGTCACGATTCTCACATATTTTACTTTGAAACATTTTAACTCACTAAAAGAATATAAAAACTAGCATTCTACAATAGTATCCACTAAACCCCCAAATTCCCTGGTGCAGCCGAGGGTAGGGAGAGTCAGCTCTCCCTCTTCAAATGCTCTCATATGGCCACGCGTATACAGCCACTCCCAAGGAAGTCTTACGACCTTCTCGTAACATTACTGTTGTATACGAAATTGAGAGGACGAAAACTGAATGTTCAGAGCTTTAACCGGGTTGGTGGATATGGAGGATTCACCTAGAGGACTTAGAAAACCCCGGTTTCAAACCAATGGTGAACATGGGCTCCATGATCCTGAAGGAACAAATGGCGTATGGACCTATTGTTGATCACCGGCCACCTTTGGACTGAGTCTCCTTGCGTTGCTCCACTGCCTTGTGGATCAGATCCTTAGGTCGGATGTGACCCCCTAAGGAAACCACCTGCTTCGGTTTGGGCAGCCGGGCAGTACCATAGCCCACATACGAATCTTTTCATTATTTATTTCAACGCATAAATATTGGTACAAGAGGACGCCAAATATATATGCGCCACACCATATTTGTGTGTGGGGGGGGCTGTGATACTGCCCGAGTGCCCAGACCGAAACAGGTGGTTTTCTTAGGGGACCACACCCAGAGCCTTTGACCTGAAGGTCTGATCCACAAGGAAGTGGAGCATCATAAGTAGATGCAGTCTCATGGTAGCCGGTGACCAACGATTGTTTCATACGCCATTTGTTCCCCCTGGATACTGGAGCCCATGTGCACCATTGGTTTGGAATCCGGTTAAAGCGCCGGACATTCGATTTCCGTCCTCTCATTTTCGTAAACAACAGTCAGTCAGTCAGTCCGCTACAACGTAGGACCAGGCACATATGTGCATCAGTCCAGGTTGCCATACCTCATTAGCACAGCAAGATGAACACCGGATTCATAGGAGTGGTTAGGTCAAAGGTTGCAATAAGGATATAGTATAGGAAGAAAGAATTAGTTCGTAGAAAGAAAGATATGAAGTGATTTTAATCTCTTAGTTTAAGGGAAGACAGGGAGTGTATACACCGACGCCATTGTGATCGATTCTGAGCCACGAGAACGCAGTATGACTTCCCTGGCAGAGGCTGTATACACGTGGCCGTGTGAGAGCATTTCGAGAGGGAGGGCGGGCCCACCCCACTCTCGGCCATACCAAGGCATTTGGGGGCGAACCAAGCAACTTGTGTGGTGCATATGTATTCGGTGCCCCTTTATACCGATGTGTTCAAATAAATAAATAACAAATAAAAAGTATTCACTAAATTCTCTCTATTAAAGTATTTTATTGCTTTAAGACTGAATAATATTTGGAATCATTTCTATGAGCATCTAAAAGAATTACCTATAAAAATTATAAGTATTAATATTTGTGAAACTTAGCAACTAAATGTAAAGGTCCAAATACTCGGCTCTGAGCCTTAATAAAATCCATGAAGTCTAATAATACTTCCTGAATGTTTACATTGAAATTCATATATTTTTACTTTGATTAATCATTGCATAATTATGACTAAACAAAAACTAAGCTTAGCTTTAGCTTATTAGTGTTAACTTATTGTCAGCCGAAAACGGTGGTCCACCAGTTAAGTGAAATCACAATATGTGAAATGTATTCTCGTTAGAAGAAAAAACATGAGCAAGACATGAATTAAATCGTCCAAACGTTAAGCTAGACTATTACATAAAACGCTATGTACACGATATAAAGGGGTGAATATTGTGAAAGCGTGACGTTTGGGATTGTCATACGAAGGATTATTGTCTGTATTTTTGTTGGATGGACATTAGATACTTGGATTACTGTACTATTATGTTATCCTAGTTGTAAGCTCCCGTTTGAGACACATGCTGTTGTCCTGTGCTTAACCTTCCTTAGGTTTTTGTGAATTAATTAGGTACTTAATATTTAATTCTGTCTCGCTTATAATCCTGTAACCCTCCCATTGTATTTTCTTGGTTATATTGATATGTAGTCTGGAAGTCGATTCATAATGTTATACTAGTTTTAGTTGAACTGTACAAAAGCATATCTGTTTACTGTGTCTTTGTCCCACCCTGACCTTTGGGCAAGCGTGTATGAGAAACTGTATCCTGAACCAATAGTTAAGTATTTGTCTCTGCTGTTATCTCACTATCGCTGAGTTATTGGCTAAAAGAAGGTCACTGTGTCATTGGCTAACAGGTCACTGGATCTACACAAGCAGTCTACGAGAATTAGTCAGTAATTGAACTAGATAATACAATAGATCCTCAGAACAAACGCCCAGATTACACGGGAGGAAATATCAAACAAGAGATTTGTACCATTTTGTTACTAAATCGGTACCTGAACTAAGGATAGGGAGTGAAGTAGTCAAACGCGTTGACTTCACTTATCTTGGAAGTCTGATCAGCCCTAATGGGTTAGTGTCTGACGAAATTTCAGCACGGATTCGAAATGTTCGTTTGGCTTTTGCCAACTTACGTCACCTATGGCAAAAGCGAGATATCCGTCTATCAATTAACGGACGAGTATACTGCGCGGCAGTTCGTTCTCTCTTACTTTACGGCAGCAAAACATGGAAATTAAGAGTTAAAGATAGTCGTAAGCTACTAGTATTTGACCACAAATGTCTTAGAAATATTGCTCGCATCTGCTGGGATCACCGGACAAGTAATAGTGAGGTTAAACGAAGGATATTACGAAATGATGATAAATTAGTTGATGAGGTTGTGAATATTCATCGACTGAGATGGTTGAGCCCCGTGTTGAGTATGCCCGAACACCGATTACTACGACTTACAATGCTAACTGGTGTTGGGGATGGTTGGAAGAAAGTTAGGGGCGGCCAAACCAAAACGTGGCACCAGTATTTGAAGTCACTAACTCCTAATCTAAGCCATGTTGGCAGATGCAGACTACTTGGTTTGGGTCCGTGCGGCTATCGTGACCAATAGTTGGAGACTCTTGGTGACATGGTTCAGAATCGATTACAGTGGCGTCGGTGTAAACACTCTCTATCTTCCCTTAAACTAAGAGATTAAAATTGCTTCATATCTTTCTTTCTACGAACTAATTATTTCTTCATGTACTATATCCTTATTGCAATGTTTCTTTTATATATTACAACCATTGGAGTAACTACTTCTATGAATTATGCTAATGGGTGTGGCAACTTGTACCGATGCACATATGTGCCTGTTCTACGTTGTAGTTGACTGACTGACTGATCTGTAAGACATACTTGGTTTATGCGGTCTAAAATTACACTTCTAAGGGAGATGGAATGACATAAAGGGAGAAAATGGACTTACCACATCGACAATCTGCAGTTGCTGACAATTGACCAACAAGAGTGATTGATTTACTTCCATCTGGTGGAAAGTTAAAAAGACGAACTGCACCCGAATCAAGAACAACAACAAAAGTAGTCGGATCAGTTGGACTCCAAGCAAAGTCACGTAATCTCCATAGACTAGTTTCTCCACCACAAACGCGAATGGAACGGCTAATATTTGACAAATCAGTCGATCCAGACTGCATTGGAAGGAATAAACAGGTGAAATATACAATCAGTAGTGTAGTCAATCAGTTGTCAAAGTAAAAAATCTCACTTAGACAAAGACAAACTTGATGCTTTAAGTGTTACTTTAAGCTTACATCAATATCAATTATCCTGAATGAGAAACCTAGTAATATTTTTTAATACCGCAAAATATCTAAGGGTAAAGGTAAACAAATAACCAGATGTCTAAATACTTAGAAAAGAAACCAAGCAAACTGGTGGTTTTACACTATTTAAAACAATAAATACATCACCTTTACATATATATATAGAATTAGATGCTATGATAAAAGTATAATGCAGTTCAGTTATCCCGAAGCACATTTTGTGTGTTACGCCAACAAATTTGTTTGACGTTGAAACCTATGATATTACATGGCTGTTAAACTAAGAACAGATGGGAAAAGGTTTGAGACTGTTAACTACTAGTTGAAGGCTGAGTACCTAAACTAATGAAGCATGGTCTCATATCACTGATTCCAACTTATAACAAGGTTATGTCGATAGTAAATCCTACTTTTTTTCAACACAACAAACTGTTATTTATTAAGGTCCTCAAATGCCCTGGTAGGATTGAGGATGGGAGGGTTCACTATCCCTCTCGAAATGCTCTCATATGGCCATACGCAATATACCCACTGCCAGGGAAGTACTACTCACTGCTTTCTTATAGCGAAGGTATTGTTTACAAAATTGAGATGAGAATTAGATTTTTGGAACATTTGAACACCTGGTTTTAGAACCACATTTGTCACAATCCTCAAAATGTTTACAGAATCTCAATGACATCTATTATTTGTCAACTACTTAAAAATATAAGGAAACCTACCTAGTACTACGAAGATCAAGACAACAAAAGCGGTGAAAAGTTAAAGCAAACGCATTACAAACAGTTACCTTCACAAGATCAACTACATTAAGCAAATTTGCAAATGTCCCACGACTTTCGCTGGACGTCAAAACAGCCAGTATCAAACCATCGGAATTAAAAGCAGTCCACATTATAGGATCAATCGAAGAAACAACAATATTCGGTTTGTGGTCGAAGAGTGGTTTATCTCTTCGAATTTTGCATATTCCAGTAGCTTCCAGATAATGTTTCGTATCATACAAAAGGACACCTGGAGTATTCAGAGGAAAAATGTGCAAGGTTAATTTAGGTGAAACTGATAAGCTCGCAAGTGAACGGAACCAGTCATGTCATGATCAATATTTAGCCATCGACTAACCCTATGAGCATATTTACTGAGATGGGTTAATTTTAATGTACAGCACCCACCGAACAATTAACGACTGTGTAGAAAACTCAGTTACAGACATCTTAAGTAGTATTATGTGACGATTATGGCTAAGCTATTGTCACACTATGAAACTCAGTGAGGACAAACTTTTTGAAGTGTGAGTAGTAGGACAAAAACAGAAGGTGCTCCAGACCATTTTAGTCAAAACGAAACCAGTATAGTTGCGAACACATGGTACGCATGTTGCTACTCTTAATAACGGCTACATACTGGTTCCACCATATTTTTACGACAAACACAAGGGGGGAGTCATGAGCGATAAAGCAGTACGCTAATCTGAAAGCCACAACAAATTTTATTCAACAATTATTCTCTTTTACTGATGATGCAGATTATACACTTACCACGATCAGACACACAAACAAAACATCCATGAGGACATATAGAAACTAGAGAACTTCTTTCTGGAAAGGCTAATGCACCGCAATGGAACTGGTGCAATTGTTTATACGCTATTTCACTCATCAGGATATAAGCTCCAAGGTAGCGCGGAGAAACGAACCAAGCGCTCCTTAATTACTATAATGCCAATTAGCTTAAATATAAAATAAAATATCTTCTTATGCATTGAGACGCTTCTCTAGTAACTATATTTTTATTCACTGGGTTATGCTTATCAGCTTCTGTTATACATGATGTGTTGCTTATCACTCCGATTACATTGTTCCATTATTTTGCTATGTACAGAACATATCTGCCCAGATGTTTTCTTCGGTTTTAGCCTTATCTATCACTACACATCATCAGATAATATTACAACGTTGTGTGTCTTTTAGGCCAACCTTCGCATAGCTGTATTGTTGACCTTTCTTATCTTAAAACTGTGTAGCCAGAAGAAAAGTCACATACTGGATGAAATACCCTAATAGTTGTTATCAGAAAGACTTTTACTGATATAATTATGTTCTATCCTCAATGTTATTTTTTTCATCCATTATTAAACTATTTGCATTTTGAGTGTAATTCAACCAGCTTGTAGGGCCATCGAAATGTCACTAAGCCCTAGCCAAATCATCCGTCAGTCGGGTCATTGAATATCGAGCAAATCATCGATTCTCGTCAAGGTCAGGGAGAACCAACGCGCATCAGTTAATCATACGCCATGGACTGGCCCATGCGGCAGTGGTCTCACTTTCGATTGTATCTACTTTAACTAATATATTTATGTAATAACGCCCTCTGTGTTGTACAGTCTTCAAAGCATCTATAGTACCTTGGTATGTTAATGGGGTAGTCCACGTAAGGTGCTGACCATGAGATGTGACTTCGATGTTAGCTAGTTTGTCACATCATTCACGTCTCACTCGAGTAGGCCTCCAATCATTTTCGACATAGATCGTCTACGTTGGTGATCTACACTAGTGAGCAAAACTTCGAGCAACGCAACCTATCACTATGATCTTTATTATTGTATTCTATGCTTATTCTTTTTCATTTTTATCATCACCTATGTTAATCTATCACTGTGAACTTTCGCTGCTTCATGTCAATGTTGATTAGTATTTAAACTTAAATACTTAGTTCAATCGACAGAACTAACCAATCAACCACGATTATAATCGGCTATCGTGGTTCTTTAACAATCATTAGCAGCATGTAAATGCTCCTGTGTAATATGTCTGTTAAAATATCAACCACTCGTGAGTATAGCCACAAGGCAACACGAACGCAAATCTGTTTGTAACTTATCCACTGGTATAAATAAGACAAGATTAACTATCGACTATAAATTCATGTTTCTGCTTAACCACTATCCACTAGAATGTTCTGCTTTTTTTACCACTGCCTGCCTAATTTCCAATTGTTGAGTTCCATGGCCAAACAGAGGATACGAATGCTAGAAATTCACGGTGAGTTTGAACTATAAATTTCCTGTGATCTTAGATCTCGTTTAGACTGTTCGTCAGTCTACAACGCTGTGTTAATCGAAAAATTTAATCAACAGTACCTCGTACATAATCCAGATTCAAACTACTGCCTACTTCATTACTTAAAGGCAAGAGTAACCCAGGCGAGTTTCATAATTTCATTAGATTATTTCGTACTATATTTATGATGCGTGATAACATTTCGTAGTTGCTTTCACGTAAACTAGTCATATATTCTGTCACTGCCGTTAAGTTTTAGTCGAAATCATGTACATTTATGACTCGTTAGTCGACATACTGTGGTAAAACATATTGCATGTACACGACCACTCTTAGTCCATGTCCCAAGTGCACATGTTGTCGTACTTAATATGTCACTTAACGCTAGGTAATAAGCTCTTTGTATCAGCCTTTTACGAAATGGCCACGTTACCTGGACCCTCTAAACCTTAGTTACATTGGTGGTTACCATTTTAATTAATGTTTATTATACCCCTTGTATTTGCTAATAATTCACAAGCTCTTTCCTTTGTATGCAAATATGAATACTTCAGTACTATTATTTATAACTAGATCCTTGGGCCGGGCCAACACATTAGGCGAAGTATCCGTTAGGAAAATGCAGAAGACTGGTTTGTCTGTGTTAGTTGATCGACCATATTTTCTTCTAAATACTTTGGCTGGTGAGACTTCACTATGTACTGATGGAGTCACATCGGTCAATTACTCAGTAGGAAAGACGCACGTCGGTTGGCAAGTAATCAGTCCTAGGCTCGCGAACTTGTTCAGGGAGACAAGGAAAAAAAGTTTCTCCGAGAATGGAATTATTAATAAAAAATTCAAAGGTAGTTATTGAGTCACCTCTAATTTTTCTATATTAGAATAAAAATAGATTTAGTTTAGTTAGTGTCTCGTCATACGGCTGCACAGAGATTCTAGGAATTAAGCAAGTTGTTAAACCCCAAACCCTTTTCAACAGCTCACCGTCTTTTCGAAGGCAATACTCAAGGTTCACTCGGACGAATTCTTTATAAAAAGTCAAGAGTGTCCTAACATATGTGTGGCGAAATGTTTTAAGTAACGGTCAGACGAAACTAAAATTCTCAACAGCATTCACACAACGTACTCTCAAGTCCTGACTAACACTGAGCAAAAACGACAATTGTCTATACACTGCTTACTTCAACACTATTCCCGTGTATTTACTTATATCATGATTGGCAATTTAGATCATAATGCACTTGGAAGGATTAATAGGCAGTTGTCAACTTCGGAACCGCTTGTATAACTTCTATAAATTTTTCATATTCTCTAACCAAATGCTCTCACATTTTTTTACTCTTCATAACTTCGTATTGTTGCCAAATACCTATACACTTTGATAGAAAACGTCAGAGACGTAGTTTTCTAATGAATTACGCGTCTTGGTCGTAGCAAAGCCCTTTGGATAAGGAGGGATATTATTCACGTTCAGTTCCCTCTGACATTGGAAATCAGAAACAAACCAATTGACAGTGGTAGAGGTGGTAAAGAAGTATAATCAAGAATAAACTTCCACACTAATGACAAAGTTAATGTAAAAGTCAAGTCATCTGAAATATTCTGCTGATTATATTGTAGCTACAGCTCTAGGTTGGGAATTTCACATATTACTGACTCTGGCCACTGAACTAAACTTAAAAACTTTAAAAATTAAGTTATTGTACTGTAACTCCATCATGTTATTAAGATTTACTCCATCAGCTTTGACCAGTACATCTGATCCACTTTCAATAGTTTTCTTTCACAGGTATTATATTGACTACTGGATATCCAACGTCAAGCTCCAATCAATTACAACCAGACACGTTAGTTGACATCCATGCAAGCTGTGAGTCTGTAAAGTGTCTTAACCAAAAACGCCGGGTAGTAATATTTGATACTTTTATTTAGGTATTCCACGAATATTCTAGATCCAGGTGAAATTGTCATTATTCACTGTACTCACTATTTTGGCTTTCTTGAAGTATTATCTCCAGGGGCTCTCTGTGAACTTGATTGATTTTAGTTTAATCATACTTTAGAATGGGTCCGCTTCCATAGTGACTTTGTGAGTTTGAATTTTCACTGCTTGAATCGAATCAACTGAACTATTGTATAATGGGGAATAATATTCCCTAATCTTTGGTGTTTCATTTGTCAGCAGGTAGCCAACTTGCGTGAGTATAAAATACGCTCCGTTGAAATTCACTCACTCATTACAACTATTTTATTTCATTGTTTAGTGACGTGAATTCTGTCGATAATTATTTACACTGGGGTAGACGGCACCTATAATTTATTTACATCGTCACGCAACTAAATCGAATTCAGATCAACGAGTCACAAAAGCGTGATACATTCGCGTAATTTTCATGCTCCTATTTATTACATCCCGACAAGAATAATGAAAAGTGACTGTTCGGATCTATTTATGGACTAATATTATACGAATATTCTTACTGTATGACTATTATGTGACTATATTATATGCGTATTCATATTTCCTTCATTATAAGCTGTTATTTTGCCTATTAGTTATTACCACACGATTCAATATTCTTGAGCTATTCCTAATCTATTAGTAACAGTCCCTCACAATTACAGCCACTTTCTGCTTGATCTTGTACAAAAGTTATTTTCTATTTTATGATGTAAGTTGGCCTGATTTGCTTGTATATAAACTCAGTACGTTTGAAATGTATGATTCATATCGCGGGAGCTGGGGCTGCAGTTCTGGACTTAACAAACAGGGCTAGGTGTAAAAAGGACCAATAGGAACCCTAAGCCGCTCGTGGTGCTGTATGCGTCATAAACTTGGCCGTATAGGTCAGAATATCTAAATTGGTAATCGTATTTCGCGATAATCACATATCTAACGACATCACGAGATTTATATTGTTTGTGGTCATAACTGAACCCAATCCGACCATTATATTTGGGATTTATTTGTGCTAAAGGATTAATGTTTAATGCCTAGCTAGTGGTCATGGAGGATCCAAATTACATCAGTTTGAACGTAACACCCCTTCTCTACTCTTGTTTTCTCTGATGCACTATGACTTATGAGGTGGTTCTGTTGTGTAACTGATCTGAATGCTGTGGTACAAAATAATCCTGGAAAGACTACTGATAATGTACCGGATTTAATTTGTCTTATTTATACGTAAATTGCCAAAAGGCACAAAATTCCACGTTATGTGAGCGAGGCAATGCTAAACCCTCTCAGTCCATATGATGCTATAAGGAGAAAATTATTGAGGTGACCTTACTGTTTGATCAGTAGATCATCAGTAAACTTCCGGAATTCGATCAGATAAGCGACCAGACACTTATTACTAAAGAGTCACGCGAGATGTCTGACGGGAGACCAGAGTGTTATCATTTTTGGTTTAGCAGGTTGCCGTGAACAATCTGTAAACAACTTTCGTTTGACGAGGAATAAGATATCTTGGGAGGATTATAGCCGGAACCGCCTACCATGTGTAAAACTTTACAGCCTATGGTAATAGGTACAGCCTTTTAGGAGGTTACAATGTGGGTTTCGTAGTGTTAAATGAAAACCTGTTAACAAACAAG